AACTGAGATCTTGCGGGTAACGACTGCACAAAAAAAGACAACTACACCGTGAATGTACTAGGCAGACTGAATAACGAAGCTACTCATATACCTATGCTTCCAAAATTCGTGCAAGGTTGCCAATTCTTAAGAAAACAATCGGCGTTCGTATATTTTACGAATGGTTAGTGTTCTAGGGTTAATATATAAATTAAACAGTAAGGGTTACATACTACATCCTTGTCTCAATCCTTTAGTTACTTTTGTTGGCTCTGAAAATCTATTTCCGATTTTTAGGTAAGTAGGGTTATCCCTGTATACTTCTGTGTTTATTTCTAAAAGTTATAGACTAATGCCGAGTTGTTGTAAAGCTTGCCACAATTTAAGTCTTGGAACTGTATTATACACTTTTTCTAGGTCCATGAATACTAGATGTACTTCGGTATGGATATCCTGCTTTAAGTAACTCTATAGCTATATTGCCAGTTCCTGGAGATCTCCTGTTTTTTATTTTAATTAACGTAGTACGGACCTCGTTATTAGTAGTATTAATGTTACTATTTGTTTGTCTCTCCATACTGTATTTCTCTCCCAATATTCCAATCTGGACTCTTGGAGTAACGGAGTAACTTTTTTAGTAATTTTTTCCCACTTTTCTAAAGGAATTAAGTTGCTTAAGGAGTTATGGGTGTTTTTCTTTAGATTAGTGATAGTTCTCCATGCTTTCGTAGCCTGAGAACCACCAGTTAAATTTTTAACTTGGACACCTTTTTGTTCCCAGAAATTGTATTATTCTTCTTTTATTTTATTGAGTACTTCTCCTTTTTTCTTTGATATATTACTCTATTGCTAGATGTTTTATTTATCAGCCTTTTCTTATATATTTTGTGTTTTTCTTGTATCCTTTCTTTTACGTTTTCTGCCATTTATGGTGGCCCGTCGTGTTTTTTGCCGTTGTTTTTTGCTGTTCCTAATACTTCATAAGCAATTTTTTTTATTATCGTTTTGAGGTTGTTGTATTCTTGTTCCACATCCATATTTCTTTCCATTTCATTTAGTTCCTTTCCTAAACTAGATTGAAAAATATGTTTAATACAATACTTGGTTGGAATAAAAGGTGCAATTTATATCTCTTTGTTTTGTACTGTATAGTATTGTTTCTCCCACTTTCGGTATTGTTTGTAGTATTCTTTAAAGGGGCACAAAAGGTTAGCTAAAAGAAAGTAGTGAAATGTTCTACAGTTAGATCCTCTTTTTACTTTGCAGTCTTTGCACAAATTTTGATTTCTGTCCGTATTTTTCCGTGCCGTCCCACGTCTATGCGCCTAAAGACGATTTAAATCGTCTTTAGGCGCATAGACTCCAACAACTATTGTTTCGATACCGTACAACGTAACAGCCATTGTCAGAATGCTTTCAGAGATGTACGCATAGTTTTTTATATATTTTTTTAACGATTTTTTTATAAGAATTGAGACCCCTGATTTAGTGTATACGTATTTCTCTACTCCTGACCATATGTGAATGCAGCATATTTCCTTGGCCTTTCTGTTTGGTTTCAGAGAGCACTATGATGTCCATTTTGCTACGTCATTTCAGTTAAAATTTCCATTGTCTTATGAGTCATGCTTTGTGTGTTCCAAGTACCAATTTTCAAAGTCCTTTTCTTTGCCAGGTGTCGTCATCGTGAGTTTCCATCCATATTTCGAGGCTCGGCGTTAGAATTTTTGGTCTAAAGAGTTTTTCCAGATGATAAGTGACTGGCCCATCGCTCCAACCTCCAAGCTGGGAGCATCAGAATTTGGGGTTGAAGTTGGGGATTCTTCTCTTAGTCGACCTGGTCCAGTTTTAAGGCGCCAGAAACTCGGCTTTCGCCCTTTCTTCGCTGCTATATAACGCACATCCATTGTAAGCCATATACCCAGGTGGTAACGCGACATATATGTCTTTGAGGACGTGAGAGTAGGATTTACTGGCAGAGCCAGTTCAGTTTCCAGAACCCCCAACCCTTTCGTTGGGAAACGGGTGAACATTTCTTAGAGTTTTATTGCAATATAAGAGTCAACATCTCACATTACCTCCGAGGTCCATAACCAGCCTTTAACCACCATAAATATTTTATCTCTTAAGCAATAGAAAAGTTAAGCTTTCATAACGAAAGACTTCTGAAACTGGTATGGGAGGAGATTCCCACAGGCAAAAGACCACTCAGAAGTCCCAGAATGCTATGGAGAGATAACGTCCAAGCAGATCTCCGGAAAATGAACATTCCATTTGACCCTAGGTTGATGGAAGACCGAACAAAGTGGAAATAAGATGTACAGTAAGCCAAGACTAGGGTTGTAGCGCTACGTGATGATGATGATGAATAGAAAAGTCTTCACAATGACGTATTCTAAAATTTGCCAAATTAATTTTTTGCGTCTTTTTTTTTTCTCCTCTTCCTTTTAGCATATCGGGATGTCGGATTTGTGGTAGCTATTTTAATTACCATTTAGCCATTTCTTCCATTATTTTTCATTTTTATTCTGTTTTTAATGCCTTAAGTGTTTATTTTTAACTTTTTCTGCCTCTACTATTTACTGCAATCATGTTTTTGTTGGTCTGCCTCTTCTTCTTTACGATGTTCTTCTTTTTACTATGTTTATGTTTTTACAATGTTTTTACTTCGTGGGCTTTTTTTGTAAATCAGTTGGGTTGCATATTCATCAGATGCTCATACTAATTAATTTGTCTCTATGCTATTTTATTTATTTAAAAAAAATAATAAAAGAAAAATAACCAGGCGGTTTATCCTGCACTGTTTCAAGGAAGTTGCATGCCACTCGTCCGTGATCTGTTTAATTTTCTCTATGTGCTCTGCAACGCCTCTGCGTGTTGAGGGTTCTGCAAAACCCGCTGCTTTATATAGATTTGATGGTGGCGTTGGTTTCATGACCTCTGTTACTATCCTATATGTCTCATTTAGCGCAGTATCAACTTGCTTGGCGTGGGCAGATCTGCCTCAAACGGAGCATGCATATTCAGCTGTTGAGAAGCACAGTGCCTGTGTCGTTGTTCTTAAACCGCCAAGACGTGCACCCCATTTACTTCCCGTTAGCTTTCTGAGTATGCTGTTCCTAGTTGTTACTTTCCCTCGCGTTTTTATGCAATGTTGTCTGTTGGTGAGAGACCGGTCCAGAGTTACTTAAAGATATACCGGGTGGTGAATCGTCAAACGGGCCATGGGAAACTCAATGGGAAAATTTAAATTGTTGAATTGCTGCTTCCCTAATTATTTTAGATCAAAAGTCATACAAAACTATTTATAGAGGACTAAAATCTGAATTAAAAACAAATGTTAAAACCGTTCTACGAATTAAAGGTACTTCAAAATTTTGCAAAAATATAATACACTTTTCAGGCCACCCCTTAAAGTTAGGCCACACGTAAAGCAAGAATGTATATTATGACGTGTGTGATTTATCATATTGATGTCAGATGTTGAACAATATTTGAATTGCCAATTTTTTTATTTTATGATTAAATTATAAACAATGATATTTACTACATAGTACATAGGTACTACTACTACTGAACAACAGATATTACTTTGTGAACAATACATTATATTGTTTACAAATCAATAAATATAATGAAATGTACTCAGTTGACGAAAAATCGCATAATGTTGTATTCAGGCAATAGTGCGAACCTTTTCTTTGTCTAGGGTGCGAGCATTACCAGATCTTTATTTTAAGTAAGATAAATTTAATTCGAAGTTATACAACAATTCAATGAATTCCATTATAGTATTACTATGATCCTTATTCCTAAAAATAATTTATGATAATTTCTAAACATAAAACTATAACAAATGTTATAATAAAACATGAATAAAACATTTTTATTATTGCTCTTTTCTTCTCAACTGAGTACATTTTTTAATCAACTTATTTTTTTAAACAGTAGATCACAAAATAAAAATGTTGGCCAATTAAATCATAGATAAATATAATATAGTTGATTTAAATATTGTCAAATATTAGAAACATCAATACGAAAAAAGGCAACACGTAATACACATTCTTTCACGGTGTCTGGCCTGCCTTTTAGGGGTTGCCTCAAAAATGTATTGTATTTTTGAAAAAATTTGAAATACGTTTAAATCGTAGAATAATTTTAACATTTGTTTTCGATACATATTTGAGTCCTCTACAAATAGTTTCCCATGACTTTTGGTGTAAAATAATTAGGGAAGCAGGAATTCAATAATTTAGAATTGTGTATTCTAATGTATTACCATTCCACTCAATTTGGAGTTTTCGCTAGGCTTCCTTTGCGCGAAGGTGTAAAGCGCAGACTTGGGTTTTAGAGGGATTGGGTATCAGGAAATTCTGCAGTTAGTACGCTGTCATTGTGTTTAAGGGCAGTTTCGAGTTTCTCCTCCACTTCTTTAAAACTATTTTCTTGAAAACATACTGCAAGATCGTCAGCATAGAGGAAGTGCTTGGTGTCGGTCGGCATAGGTTGGTCGTTTGTGTATATATTGAAGAGCATTGGTGCTAAAACACTTCCCTGTGAGCAGCCGTTTTTTTATCTCTCTACCTACTTACTTTACCCTCCAGTATAACGAAAAAATATCTGTTTTGTCAGTAAGGAATATACGAGCTTACCCAGATGGTGGTCATTGAGATTGTCGTATAATTTGTGGAGCAAAGTTTTGTGCCTTACTGTTTCATAGGCTGCTGTCAAATCTAGGAAAGTTATACGTTTTTCTTCTTCGGCATCGAATTAAGTTCACGTAGATCTAAGAGTTGTAGTTAAGACTCTAGTGGTATACATACGCGTACAGTTTGTGTTTGTAACTTATTAAGACTTAAATTTAATAAGCCAGTCCTTACTATAGTGTCTTAAATATTTTGAAACCCAAACAATCAGTTTTTAAATAATTATTTTGTTATTTTGTTACTGCCATGTATTATACATATAGCCTAAACAATATAACTGATAATAATTGTAAATAAACATAAACATTTTAGGAATAATGGGAGAAAAACTGGACAAATTTTTGTTGTTAATGTGGAAGAATTGGCTGCTGCAATATAGAAAACCAATTCAAACTATGATAGAAATTATTGCTCCTGTTCTCTTTTCATTCCTTTTGGTCTACATAAGAAGTTTGTCAGATCCAACATATCAACATGAAAGAATATTTAAGCCATTTTGTGCACTAGAGCCAAACTTCAATATTAGCCTACCGTTTTGTAACGACCCAGATGCCGCACACGCAGGACTATCAATATTTAGTTCTATGCAAGCCAGCGATAGGTAAGGTATTTTATTTATAGTTTAGGGGAAAAAATAAAAAAAAAGTAGTATACATCATACATTAATAACCCTTTTCCGTCGATCGTACATTTATGATTAATTTTAACACCCTCAAAATCATTGATTATTTACCCCTATTAATGAATGATTTTGTATTAATGAAACGATTTCATTATATTTTGAAAAAATTAAGGCAAATATCGAACGCAAATCGTCGACTTGGTTGTCAACAGGCGTAAACCACAATGTCGTGAAACTGAGAAATTGGCTGTCAAACATTTTTAAGCCAATAAATTTCAATTGTTGGTATAACTTGGTCATTTTTTAAGATTAAGAGCTACAACTTTTGACTAGCATACTTTATAGGATTATATGAGGAGGTGTCAATCAAAATCAATCATGTCCACCTTAAGAAGTTTTAGGGAAATCGCACAAAACGTATTAGTAAATAACCTTACATGAAAAATCGGATAAATTAACATATATCATTTTATTTATTGAAATTAACTGACTCTTAGTAAATATTTCAAATCTGAAGGTATAAATAAACCTGTAAATACATTTTAAAAAAAGGACATGTTCTTATTTGATTGGACTTCATGGACTTTGATAGAAGGTGTTGATAAAAAAAATCTTAGACAAATTAAAATATCTATTGTATTGTTACAAAAAATATCTTGAAAAATGGCTAACATTTACCAACGACACTTTCCACAAAATATAAATGTTTAAATGTGTAGTCCAATGTCAGGTTCTAGAACAATCACAGGATTCATCCATTTCGTCGGCATCAATTTCGTCGTCCTGGACTTCCACTATTATGGTCTTATACCAAGATAAAAAGTCATGTTTTCTGCCAGTCATCACCATACATTTTCACAAGTAACGTCTTCACGTCCTTCTTCTTAGCTGCTTTTCACTATATTGCTCAGTGGAAGTGACTCTACAGGAGTTGAGAACGACATTGCAGAATGCCAGCCTTTTTTTGAGGCTTGTTGTAGGTTTCAAAATCACTTTCAAACCTAAAATTCTGTGCCGATTTCACTTTGATAACAGTAAGTTCTTGTCCATTGCGGTTGACAGCTTTCTCTTTCTTCACAAAAATCCTCTTTTTTTCAGATATCATTTCAATGTTTTTAAATCGTGTAGCCAAACTTTTAGCATCAATCAATCCCCAATCCTCTCCAAGTTTCCGTACTTCTCCAACAGAACTATATACATTGTAGTACTCTTCCTTTGTTGCAATGGTAGGCTGCTTCCTGAGTAACTTTTCAACCCTTCCGAACACCCGATCAGCGGGAGGAAGCTATGCCCGCGAACAGGGTATGTTTAGAACAATCTCCTCTAAAGCATTTGCACTGATCCTAAGTAATACACTAATGTGTGAACAATGGCATTGTTTTGTTTTGACCGGCACACCCCTCACAGAACAGATTCAGTCTTGTTACATTTGAAAAATCAGCGGAGTTCAAGAAATTTATAAGTGCAGATGAAACTTCGGTCGCACCCCTTCCTGCAAGTTCTTCAGTCCATACGTAAAATATGGGGTTTTGTGCATTTGATGCTACAATGCAAAAAGAGTAAAAACTTAATTGTCTTTTGTAGAACGCGTCTTGAATAGGAGTTTTGGGAAGTGCTTGAATTTGCTGGAGATCAAAACAGAAAGTAACCTCATTTTCTTTGTTTTTCTTTAAGAGCCCATAAAAAGCATTAGCTCTTAATCTGTGTATCCTTTTCTCCATCATAAATTGGTTGACCACTACCAAGTCTTTCACAGCTTTAGCCTTCTCAATTTTCAGCTGAAGATCTATTTTATTGCATGTACTGCAAACGTCAGAAGCTGGTGATGAAAATCCGATATTTAATTCATTGAAAACTCTCCTAAACATAGATTTCTTAACTTTAAGATTATCAAGTACAGAATCATTGTATATTAGCCACAACTTCTTAATGTTTAAGTCTGCACCAAGATAAATCCTTTTCGATTTTCTTTAATTATAGTGGCTTTCTTTTCCTCTTAAATTTCTCAAAAAAAGGCGGACTGATTCCTTGTTCGCAGCAGATTTGTGACTCTTCCTATCGCCACCCCTCTGATCCTTAACAGCCTTTCCCTCTTTCACCTTTTTAGAAATATTAGTCAATCTTGTTCCCTTCACCATGGTAATATGCATGAAAAGTTTCCTACACACAGGTATAACTTTACCGGTGAATGAAAGTATAGAATATTGTACACTAAAACTTTTAGCTTTGATTTTTCAGAGGTAATCCTAGGCCTTCGCCGCTTTATGTTACGTTGATTTATCCAACTGGCAATGGTGTTATCTTGCGTGTTTTGTCAGGTATTTTGTAGAGGATATTTCGAACAAAAATAGCATCTATAGGCCTAACTAATGCACATTTCGTACCTTTGTTCATGTGTTTACATGGAACAAACACACGACATCCCACTGTAGTACTGTATCGCTTAAGCTTGGCTCTAGTTTTTTTATCCACAGTCTTTTTATTTTTACGAGATCCTTCATTGGCATCGCCCACTCTCACTAAGTTTTCTTCATCCATGGACAATTTCAATTTTATTTAATAAAAACTACTATAATAATATTAAAATTAAACCACAGTGCAATACAAACTCAATACTCGCTATCGACATAACCTAAAGGGAAAACACAGACAATGTGTTGACATGGTCAAATCACGTGACCAAATCGGGGCACTCCTATTAGCTGAATGGACATGTGGTGGTATGATTGAAACCAACTGTGGACATGATTTCATTTGATTTGGGAACCTAATATTGTGTATTCATTTTAAACAGGACATGATTTTTTTTTAACCGAAACCAAATACACCATAGAATAGGATTCACTCTTTATATTATGAAACAGCTGCTAACTCATTTTTTGATTTTTATGGACATGATTGATTTTGATTGACACCTCCTCATATAGACGTATGGTAATTACTAAAATTTTCTGTTAGATATTTTTTAAGTTACGTGGCATACGTCCATTGAGCACTGAAAATTAGTTGCATTTGTGTAAGTGTTAAAAGAGTCATGCCTCTAAAATACTTTGAAACTTAAACTTTTAAACATAATAAATATTCATAATAAAAAATACTTCTTTAGAATTGTTTTTACATGAATGTTATTATTTACTGTGCAAGCTTGTGATACCTATAGATTATATTAACAGCAGAAATATTTATTTAAAATAAAACAAAAATTGAACTTTTAAATGTATTCAAACTATTCTAAAAACAACGAAATAGAACTAAATTGAGGTTACGTAATAATAAAGACTTTACTAGTCTACATCACTTTCTGTATAACTGCTTTTACGAGTAGCATCCATCAAACCCTAAACCTTTGTAGAAGTCGTGGTAGGCACATGGAATACTACCTTTCTCACACATCTTTAACAAATCTCTTGATTTGCTTTTCTCAATTTTGAGTTTGGCTGCGTGTAAATTTGATACATCTATCGTGTATTGGTTTCGAAATTGTCGTCGATGTATGTTCAGAGATTGGAAGTGGTCCTCACTCAGTTGATATTTATAGTAAATAGTTGCACGTTCATTTTTGCAATATTGAAACCACTTAACATTTAGCCATTTAACTCTTCCTCCGCTTTCAGAAATTGTTTTGTTTGTTATAAACTGATTACCGAATTTATTAAAGTCAAGAAAATCGGTATGCACCATTTCAACAACCTTGTAGTAAGGTTTTCTGGTTTTAGCGGTACGAGCCACCATGTACTAGCCTTCTGGTGTGAATAAATCTACTTTTCTACCTCGAGCTTCTATAGCAGAGTGTACAGAATCACACTCTATCTCGGAGTGCCCTGATTTCATAAATTTTTGATTAATGATATTAATGGGCATATGTTCCACAGCACGCAAAATATTGCAGATATAACAGAATTGCTGACATCAGAAGACTGACATCAAAGATCTTTTCAATATGTATCATCATTTAATAAATTAAGTTGTTTTTTATTTAATACATTTTTATTATTTTCAGCAAATTGACAATATTATATACTGGTCCAAATAATGCTTATTACGGCGATGTAATAGACTTTTTTAAGTTGGTACCTTTAATTGATGTTCAACGTGTAGGAAGCTCAGCTGAATTAGAAAAAATATCATTAGCGGGAAACGCATCCTACTATGGTATCGAGTTTGGAGGCGAAAGAGAAAATTTAGAGGTTAATATCAGGTAAGTGTAGATAATTACCTTAGGTAACAGAAAGATTGTTGTATTTATAGAAATACTTTTTCTTAAATAATTCGAGGTAATTTGCTCTAGTAGATTACCTTTATAGTTTGTGCTGCTTATCGTAAAAGGCGACTAATTCTAGCAGTTGTTCGCTGAATAAGGCCTATCTTGTCACTGTGTAATAGTAAATACTCTTGACTATCATACAACACCCACCCCTACCCGTCATATTCGTCCTCATACCAAAACCTATAAATGAGGAGAATAACTTCACGAATATAAAAGCCAGTGAAGAAAATCACTGAAAACAAACGGATATGCATTTGCGGATATGGAGACAGCGTAACGGAACTCTAAAAGCTCATGAGAAATGCCAAATACAATCCATAAAGGGAAAGATCAACATCCTGAGAAATAAGATATTTGATTATATCGAGAAAGTGGGGGAAAATAAGAATGACGAAGAGGCTCCAAGGAAGTCTATGTGCCTGACATCCAGAGGCTTGCAGATTAACATGAATCCTTGACAGTTAAGAAGAAGGCGACAATGGGGGTTGAAGTGAACCTAGAGAACCCAGAAGTCATTAAAGGAAGGGAGGACGCTATCGCGGACAGATGGCAACATGCGAGGACGAGAAGTAATCAAGGGAGTTCCTAAATGAAGACTACCGAGTAAGTCCTCACGATTACCGTAGTGAAAGAGGGGGACATTTAGGAACTAACAGGAGACGTGGCAGTCTTTGTCACCAAGAACTACGAGGAGAATAAAGACATGAAAAAAACCAAAGCTATATTTCCGCAGCTACTAGATGCTCCAGTAGAGGAAAACGAGCAGGACAACCTGGGAACTATGAGTGTCACGATGTCTGCTCATAATGATGGAACTTGGATCCACAAGGAGAAGTATGGATTTAAGCTTTTCCCAAACAAGAAGGAAGAACCTGCTCAGTGAAGTTCCTGAAAACGTACAAAAATCTGGTTCAGAAGATGAAGGAGCTAGGGAGAGAAAACATGAGAATCCATACACTGGTAGCACTGGGAGCTGAGATATCGAGAGAATTTTTAAGTAATATGCAAAACGAAGGGTGTGACGATCACGCTGCTCGGAAACAAACAACAAGAAGGTGGACCAACATCAACACCATGCCCCAAGAACAAAATCGAGTGGTTATCATTAGCAAACGCAAAAAAAATCATTTGTGGATCTAATGACAAAAGCGACAAACAAACTGACAGAAAAAAAGGACATCGATATAAAAAAGATAAGAAAACGAAAACATTTCTTCTTCTGGTAGCACTACAACCCGGGGTGGGTCTTGGCTGACTGCACAACCTGCTTCCATCTCAAACGGTCGTCCATGATGTTTAAGTCAGTGGGTAGCCCCATTGTTCCCAAATCTGACCATATATTATCTTTCCATCGCATTCGTAGACGTCCTAAGGGCCTTCTCCCTGTCGAACTTCTTCCCAGATTAACTTGATAAGGCGTGTTATTAGGAAGCCTATGAACATGGCCAGACCATCTTAGACGTTGGGATTTAATCTCTTGGACTACGTCGCTAGCACTATACATTTGCTTGACCTCGGCATTTGTTCTCATTCGGTATTGGTTAGTATTCGGATCGTGATAGGGACCGAAGATCTTTCTGAGAATTTTTCTCTCAAAGCATCTGAGTTTACTTTCCATTGATTTTGTCAGCGTCTACGTCTCACACCCATACATGAGCACCGGTCTAATTACTGTTTTATATATCCTGATTTTTGATGTTCGTGTTAGGATCTTGGATTTAATAGTGTTGTGGGGGCTATACATATATCTGTTTGCTGCCTGAATTCTCCCTTTTATCTCTTCCGAGATATCGTTATCTGTGGTGATAGTCGCTCCGAGATATTTAAAACTCTACACTCTTTCAAAGTTATAGGGGTCTATTGTTACATTTTGTCCTATTCTATCTCGTCTCTTTTGTCTGTTAATGCACATATATTTGGTTTTCTCTTCATTGACCCTTAGACCGGTATTTTTTGCCTCTCTCTCTAATTTATTAAAGGTTTCTTTTACATTGGTGATGGTATTTCCTACAATGTCAATGTCATCCGCGTATACTAGTAGTAATTTTGGTCCATTTACTGTCAGTAGTTCTGTTCTAATTTGTGCGGTTCTTACTACTTTTTCCAGGATTATATTAAAAAGAAGAGGTGATAGCGCGTCTCCTTGTTTCAGTCCACTGTTTATTTCAAACGACTCTGAGAGCTTTGTTACCTATCTGCACTCTAGATCTACAGCCATTTATACAAACTTTAACGAGCTGGATAAGTTTTTTTGGAACTGAAAGTTCTGCCATTGCATTCCACATCAGATCCCTTTTAATGCTGTCGTATGCTTGTCGGTAATCTATGAAGAGATTATGAATGGTTCTATTGAATTCCCATCCTTTTTCATGGATGGGAATTCAATAGAACCATTCTCCAAAATAGATCGACCGTAGATGTCCATCTATAGTCGATCTATTTTTTCTGAATCCGGCTTGGTATTCCCCTATGAAATTTTCTACAAAAGGTGTTAGTCTACTTAATAGGATGTTCGATAAGATTTTGTACGCCGTATTAAGTAGGGAGATGCCTCTATAGTTAGAGCAACGAAAACATTTGGTGATGAAGAAATAACCAATTTTTATTATTTTTAATTCTCCGATTTCAAAAACGTCTTCTATTTTTAATTCAAAAACGTCTTTAGTTTTGTTTTCGAATCGATTATATAATTTTAACTTCGGTCGAAAAGATATACACAAAGCCACCTGGAAATCACTAGACGGACTTATAGGAAATGTGGTAGATTATACTATTTGTAGACTCAAGACCCAATACCCAAGATACAAACAAAAATAGAGCATATAAACAAAACATAAACAATAAACTAGAAAACAGACTAAAATATGAAAACATAAATGAAGAGTGGGAATGGTGCAGAAACATAATAAGAGAAGCAGCAGAAGAATTGCTAGGCATGTAAGATCAACAAAGAAAACAATGACGAATGACTGTTTTGACGAAGAATATCAGATTATAATAGAAATAAAAACCAGAGCATATTTAATTACAGCAACAAGGGCACAGAAACCGACAAACAGAGAAGGAATATAAGTAACTATAAAAAAATAAAAGAAAATCCATCGCAGAAAGAAGAAAGAAAATATAAACATAGAACCTCAAGAACTATTTTTAAACGCATCTATTTCTTATTATAGAAACATATCATCCGCACATCTTAAATAATATTGAGAATTTGAGTATTTTCAGAATTAAAACAATGATTTTTTGTAGATTTCCAGGAGAAACAGTGTATCAATTAGATACGATTGAGCCTCGAAATTGGAGGACCAATTTGGTGTACCCCGTGTTTCAAAGCGCTGGTCCAAGATCCCCCGATAATGCTACTGGATCAGCACCAAGTAAGTAACATTTTTTGAACTATACTATTGCAGATATTCTTGCTACATACTATACTTTCTTTTGTAAATATTAGTATAAAATATAACCCAGTATAATAATGTCATAAATTAGTTTCTAAGGTTATATACATTTTTTATTTTCTTCTTATTCCGTTACTACTATGTATAGGTTGTATCGAATATATTTTGCCTACCACATGGGGTATTACTATAAGGGGTAGAAAATTGGGGACAGAAATTTTGGAGGTCAAGATAGGGTAATCAAAACAATTTATTTATTTATTTATTAACGGATTTACATTGGAACAATATATAATATATAAAATTTTACAAAGTAAGCATAACATTGGAAAATAATTAGTATGGAGGATGGGGCATTGTGAACCATCTAAGGAAGATATGCACATACTGTTAAACCAGAAATGATTTTGTTTTGTTTAATTAATTAAGGACGTTCATTAAACATTTAACTGTCATTTAGTTGCAATTGAAACATAATTTATTTAACGTATTTTCAACAAAAAAATGACAACTGACTATATGTCAAAAGTTCACATTGCCACATAGGGTGGGGCAATGTGAACTACTGAGGAAAGTCACACTATTTCATTATCTAATGGCTATGTTTGGTAAATAAAATCAAGTAAAAAGAATTTTTTTATTAAAAATACTTAGAAAACCGGTAACAGAACATTAGTAAAAATAGACACATGTTATATTTATTCAGAAATACAAAATTCACACTGAAATTCTTCATCATCTTCTAGATCTATTCCCGCACATGCTTCATGAGCCCATTTCAGACAGGCCGAGCAACGTACCCATCCTTCTTCATTGGCTGATGAGGAGAACCACTCGTTACAGTAAAAACATTCAGCATCTTCACCATTGCCATCATCTTGTACTTGATGGTTACATTTATTTTTTTTCTTTCCCTTACCATCTTTGGAAGGACAAACTTTTATTTTTTTGTTACTTCTTTCACTATCTTCGTGCTTATCATCATTTATTTTTTTCTTAGCTTTTTCCTTTTTCATTGTTTCTATTGCCTCCTTCGTGTTTATTTCAAGTTCTAATTCTAGCTTATACGGACTAGATGTCAGTACAGCCGTTTTACCTTTTTTAGATTTCCTCTTTGGTTCCATTAATTTACTTCTCTTTGGCAGAGGACGAATGTCTTTAGGGCTGTTTGCTCCAAATGAAGTTGTTGCTCTATTGTGTGCAGGGGAAATTGTCAATTGAAAATCGTTACCAGTATGAAGCTTTGCAACTGAGGTTGAAGCAATTACCTCATCTTGACTTAAGTGAGGCTCTGCAGTTGAAGTTGAAGGAATTGCCTCATCTTGACTTGACACTGGTAGACTATTATTCTCCAAATCTCTTTCAGTCGTAGCAGATGGTGCAAAATCGAGGTCTGTAAATATATTGGGATCATAAGGTACTATCCCACATTTTTTAAAAGCGTTAATAGCAGTCAAAGGTGTTGCAGCTTGTAAGAAAGCCTCACCAAAAATTTTAGAGATTTGGAAAGCTGTTACCACTCTGCCTGGGTTGTTATTAAGAAACTTTTCTAATGCCATATCATAATATCGTGCTAAAGGAGCCATGACACCAACATCGGTTGGCTGCATTCGATGGGTGGAATGTGGAGGCAAACAAATGATATGTACATGTTTTTCCCTAGCCAAATTAATTACTTCTATGTTTTTTGTATGGCTGCTGTGTCCATCCAAAATCAATAAGATCGGATCGTCTTCACTTGGTTTCGTTTGTTGAAGAAAATGTTGAAACCATATTAAAAAGAGTTCACTATTTATCCAGCCACTATCGCTACAGGCGAATATTGAACCTGGAGGTGCACCAGCTTGGAGTTCGACTTTCATTCTCTTTCTTGCAAAGATTAACATCGGCGGTATGAAGATTCCTGATGATGACATGCAAATAACGGCTGTTGTTATTCCACTTCTATCAGCAGAAGTAAGCCGTCCAACTTGTTTCCGTCCTTTATGCGCCAAGATTTTACTATTACATTTGGGGACTGTACCTAGACCTGTTTCGTCACAGTTAAAAACACGCGTTGGATTGACATGTTTAGAATCCAAAGTAGCTTTATACAGATCAAAAAATTGTTTTACATTGTAACGATTAAAAGCTTCAGCTCTTGCAGCAGATGTTGATTCGGGTTTACGTAATGAAAGCCCTGGGTGCCGTTTTCGAAATCCGTACGCCCAATCTAAACCTGCAAGTTTGTTTGTTTTATTATATGGATGGTCTATGTTATTTTTTTCGGCTAACTGGAAAGCTAGGTGACGAAGATCAAGCAAAGTAATTCCGTATAAACGCTTCTCCATATCTAAGATATAATTATACAATTCTTCTTCCTGTTCCTTGGTAAAAACCGTTTTGTAGAAACCTAGACCCTTTTCGTCAGGAGAAATTCTTGTTACTTTTTCTTTGCATCTGCGAATTAACGTTGCTTTCGGGATACCATAAACTTTACTAGCTTTTAAATAGCCCATCTCCCCAGCTTTAACTGTCCGGATAGCATTCTTCAAGGCAACAAGAGACCAGGATTGTTGCTCAGTTTTCCTCACATAATTTCGTACCATTTCTAACTGCAAAAGAAGCATATAATTAAAAAAGTGTCAAGAAAATATAATGGGGCAATGTGAACCACTCCTAGTCCACGTTGCCCCATGCGTAGTACACATTCAAAATATGGAAATTAACGTACCAGTTCACAACGTATCAAAAGCAAATCTTAATTATTAAAAGCACATTTTACAAGCAACACCACAGTATCAAAAAGTTAAAATAATCATGTCTACTTACCGAGAAATCTTTAGTCAAAAGTAGTAAATTCCTTAGATCAGCAGCGACGAAACACGTGTTTTTAATTATAACACGTCTGAACGTACTCCCCGTGCGTTCAAACTCATACTAAAAGTAGATAAGATGTCTACGCATATTTGTAGTAGTTACTAGATGCAGTGTTGCCAATTTTAAACAAAATAACCGATGTGGTTTACATTACCCCCATGGTCCATGATGCCCCATCCTCCCTAAGTTTAGCAAAAACTAATAATTAACTTAAATACAAACTAATATCATACAAATAGCAGTCTCTTTATCACATTTTTAAATTGTTCTAAGGACTGGAAAAATAAGTCCAGATCACTTTGGTACCTATTATATAGTCTCACCATATGAGTAAGAGGCTTGAAGTATTCATAATTAAATTGATGAAATGGTAGATGAAATAATGAAGTATGCCTAGTTCCATGAAGAGTGTTAAGACCTAATCGATTTAAAAGTTCAGGGCAATTTATCAAATTATTAACAAATTTGTAAAGGAATATTAGGCAAAAATAATCTTTTTCGCCGATTCATAGAAACCATTTTCAAGTGATCAGCTATCATACTATAACTGTATGGGACAGAGAGGTCATGAAAAGCACTACGGTAATGATAGTGTTTACCAAATTTATGCTGAACACGATCAAGCTTGTCTATAGATGTTTGATAGTAAGGTCGCTATACAACTATTGCTTATTCTAGTCTGGAGCGAATGAGACTATTAAAAAGAATTGGTAAAACAAAACATGAAAATTGAGAAGTGTTTCTAGTTATAAACCCTAATTGTTTAAATGCACTGTTTACTGTGACCTCTAGATGCTTACGAAATGCTAATTTACAATCAAATAAACACCTAAATCCTTAACACAGTCCTGTCTAGACAGCTGAGTGTTATCAATGCTATAATCGTAATTTAAAATTGTTTGTTTCCTGTGAAAAGTAATAACACAACACTTATCAATGTTCAATATTGATTCATTTAGTTTGCACCAATCGCTAAATATGCTGATATCCTCTTGTAGCTGAATTTGATGATACTGACAAGTAATGACTTTATAATTTTTTTTATCATCAGCAAAGTTGAAATATTTTGAATACTTAATGACTTTCTCAACATCGTCAACAAAGAGGACAAAAAGTAGAGGACCACAATGTGACCCCTGTGGTACTCCAGAGAGGACGTCAATAGATTGAGACAACACACCATTTATCTTAATGCTCTGGGTGTTACCCACAAGAAAACTATCATACCAATCAAGCCATTTGACAGCTATACCAATGGCTTCTAATTTACTGATTAAATAACGATGATTTACTTTATCGAATGTCTTTGAGAAGTCAGTATAGATGCTGTCCACCTGGTACTTCCTCTCAAAGGCACCCAATATATCATCTTGGTAGACCAACAAGTTTGACACTGTGCTCCTACCCCTTTTAAAGCCATGCTGTTGGGGTATTATTATATTATTTGTTAGTTTTAATAAGTGAGAAGTCACTAGTTTGTCGAGAAGTTTTGGGATTGCTGACTGAATACAAATTCCTCGGTATTTTTTAATATCTTTCCTTTTACCTGACTTAAAAACAAATCAATACTTGTGCGGACGGCAATCAGAGGTTAATTGGAGAACTGGAGTCGTGGATAAGTTGAATGACAAGGGGTCAGATTGGGGCAACTACAAAAAAATGAAACAATGAGGTACTTACATAAATCTCCTGGACAAATGGGCAAATATAGACAACAAGAAAAGAATTCTAGTTATTCGAAAGAAGGATGCCGCTTCGAAGAATCCTAAACTTGCTGGATAAAGGAAAAAAAGACTCTTCCCTCCTAAAATAAGAAAACACAAAGGAGTTAGGAAATTTTTCTAAAATAAAAGACAAAATTATTAGAGAAATGAATTTAACATTTATTTTTGTCTCAAATAAACAATTATATATACAGATAATCAGAAGTAATTATGATATTCATAATTACATGGGTTTATACCAAAATAAATAATAAAACAAAACTTACATATATCCTATCTGTTTACAATTGGGAATCGCTACAAAAACTTTCAAAACTGTTATTATGTTATTTATAACTGTGGCAGAAACATATTATTAAAATTAAAGATATCTTTATAAATAAAACTATCATAAAGGATAACCTTTTCTACAAACAAATAAAAAATGTCCTAACAAATTAAGGCTAGCTGTCATATGTCAACATTTAATTTGATGACAGAGAACAATTAAATTGACAGCATAACCAGTCCCTAAGATTTACAATATTTTATTACTAAAAATTTAAATTGTCATGAAGGCAATTATTGTTATTAAAAAAAATTTCTATCGTTACCTTAAAAGTTCAAACAAAAAAAGGTTACCTTGATTTTCACTAAAATGCACGGAAAACTTCTGGGATTTCTGCTAAAGTTTCTGGGGTAGAACTGGGGTTGTATTCTCTGGACACGAACAAAACCAATTACTTCAGGAAGAAATAAGTGAGGTTGAAAAAGCACTTATGCAAACCTTGAAAAACGAGATTTTTAAGAAAAACGGGAACTATCTTATTCACTTTTCAAATGTTGACACAAATCTTTAGAACATAGTAACAGTGGTCACTCTTCCAAATTGGACATACTACATAAGTGAAATTTCCTATTTTAACCGTTCCCTTTGATTAACTCTTCAAACCTGAAGTTCGACCTTCCACCGAAATCTCAAGTACTGGCCTTTTCCCCTTGCATCCCCATACATACCCGTACACGCCAAGGAACCGTCAAATTCGTTACGACTTACGAATCGTGAAAATAACCTTGGATCCACCTCCGGTGTTACTACGATTTAGAAAATGAACACAAGACGTTGCAATATTTTTCAACTTGTACTTGTGAAGTACTCAGACCAGGGCGTACTGAAGAATTTTATACATAAATATTTCATGGTTAAAAAAAAAAACAACAAAAAACAAAAAAATGTAGGTATGCAAACAAGTCACCTACAATACCAACTGGTATTGTAGGTGACAATACCAAACTAAACCAAAATCAACAACCAATAAATGACGTTTTCTTACCATGTTTTAAAATTTTGACGAACCGAATATAAATTGACAATCTTTGTCAATTCCTTAAATTGGTTTCATAGCCCGGCTCAATCCTCTATTGTATTAAGATTATTAACACATTGACGGACACCAGCTATCGTTTTTGTCGACCAAACCAATGCACATGATTATCTATTATACTATGAAATATTTTGAACTTAAATTTTTAGAAATAACTAAACTGCTTAAAATTAAGTGACTTACTAAAAAAAACTATGACGGTAGGAGTTGTCACCGTCTCACCCGGCAAATATATTATGTCTAAAGGTCGATTCAGACACATCAGTCACTCTGGCGCCGAACCGAAAAATCCGTCATAAAAAAAATCTTTAATAGAAATATGGCGCAGGCATTCACATTCATCAGGCGACGAACAGTTTGCCAGCTGTCAGATAGTTGTGTGACCAAACAGGACCGGTTCGGCGCCGAGACTGTGACGGGACTGATGTATCTGAATCGACCTTAATGGGATAACGGCTGCAATTGTTCAATGTAATTTTACGTCAAATTGTTGTATTAGGTATTTAGAATATTAGAGAAAGTCATTTTTAAACAAAACAAATTAGTTTTTTTCTATATGCCATCTTTCGAAGCATGGTCCAGGACAAAGAGGTGGAGTGTCCTGGCATCTCTTACATCTCCAATGAGTTGCTGTCCTCTTTTTGTCTCTGGAACACTGTTTACAGCGTAGGTTTACTCTATGATGAATAACCATCATTGAACTTTCTATGATGGTTATCTGGTCTTGGTATTAGTTCTTGGAAGTGTTAAGATACTATACCAGTAGCATAATGAGGTTCTGAATTGTCACTACGTTGATGAATTGGATTGAAATTGACACAGAAACGACCATCCTTGAAGTTTTTGTCGAGAACTAATCCAGATCAATTCCAGACATCAATTTATTGTATTCAGATACTTCAATTGGCTTTATACGTATCTGATCATGACGATTTCTAGCCTCTGTTAAAGTAAGATGATGAGCAGTTGTTACGCAAAAAACATATGTCTTGTCCTTTAACTTTGAGACATAAACCTTTCCGTGAAGTTTCCAGATATGCTGTCCTTTACGAAGACGTTTAGTCATAACTATATTTGGGTTTTCTCGTCTGTTTGAGCGTTTTTTACCTGTTACCTGTATTTGATTCTGCAACAATCTATTGGCAAGTGTCATGCTATAGTAATAGTTATCCATAAAGAGATGATATTTTTTATTTAGATAGGGCTGCATCAGTGTCCTAACCAGACGTTCCAGTTATGTGATATTATTATCTGGCCCCTCTTCCCCCTGACCATTATAAATGTCTACATTCAACACGTATCCATCGTGAGAATAAAGTTCGTAAAATTTAATCCCGTATTTCGTTTTTTTATTTTTCATATAAGTTCTAAATGATAGCCGACCACGAAATAATAGTAACGACTATTCCAAAGACAATTATCCACCTGGTTTATAAGAGTCTTAAAAAATTCTGAGACACATATTTAGTAGGTTTTTAATCTTCGAATCGTCTGCCGCTTATTATGTACGAGAATATTGAATGTTAGTTTAATGGATCGAAACTAAACCGTTTTCCAATATTTTGGACTTTAATTTGCCCTTATAGCAAACACAAACCAAGAATTTTTTTCGTTTCTTTGTTGGAAGTCTATTTAAAAATAATGATTTGTATATTTTACTAATAAATCCATCATTCCACAGTTGAGTAAAATGTCACAAGGTGACGAGTCCAGATCTCCAAATAACTTGATTCCCATTTGTGAATAATCAAATAAGAAGTTATCTATAGTCACAGTATGACTATTTGATCCATTTTCGTTAGTATCCTCATATCACTTACTTTGACTAGGTCTGCGTTTGCACGAATATTATCGTCAACATCTGATTCGGGACTCACTTCTGCAGAAACATTATCTTCTTCATTAAGGGTTTCTAGAACCTGAAAGTCAGTATTCTGAAATAACAAAAATAAAAAAAACTTGAACTTACCTCTGACTCTATGTTACTGTCATCAGAATAAACATCGTTATTTTCAGGATGATAGGAGTCTATCTGATCTATTGATAGTATATCTGATTGATATACTATCAATATATTCATCGCTGTGTACTTCCTTATAAAGTTCCAAAAGACGTTTTTCTTCTTTTAAGTTCATTGCTTGTTTCAAAAATAAACACGCTGTATATTTTTTCTTCTTTCACACAAAAATATAATGAATCAAAATCATACGCCACTGAATATTATTCAAACTAACAATTTCTACAATGTCTGAATCAACATTAACAATGCATGTGGTATTCCGGTACAACTGCCTTTCTCTCCATACAACCACGTCTTCTAATTGGCGGTAGGTATAATAATATAAAATGTGCCAGCCTCAACTGGTCTGTCCTACAAAGTGAATTATAATTGGACGTCTGTCCGTCAATGTGTTAAGAAGTTTGCCGAGTTTTTTCTTATTTTATATAGTTATCTAGTAAGGTAAACATTTATTTCTTTAATTTTAAAAATAAATTTAAATACATATAGATTACTCAGTTATCAAATCGAATATGAGAATACTTGTTTATATAAACAATTTATTAGCAAATCGCAAATCAATTATTTAAAAAATAATTAATTTTAATATCAATATTATATTATTATTAATAATTGTTTACCAATAGGTGAAGCCCATTGAAATAAGGTTACAAAACAATAATTATTATGTATTTATTATTTTTTATAGATTATTTTGCTGAGGGATTTCTGGCCATGCAACATTTTGTGGCTACTGCTCTTATTCTAGCAGATAAGGGTATTAAATATAACGATCCAGACCTGAGTGAATTATATAATTTTTTTATGAACAAATCTAATCCATTTCCTCTCATATACATGCAACGATTTCCGTATGCCAGTTGGTTCAGCGATCAACTGCTAACAGCACTGACAAGCATGCTTGGAATGATTGTTATGCTTAGTTTTGTCTATACGTGTATAAATACAGTCAAAGCTATCACCACAGAAAAAGAGAAACAGTTAAAGGTAAGTGTTGATCTAAATAATTTAAAAAAGTTGTTGTAAACGTTAAAAAAAAATAACAAAAAATTAAGAGATAGCCAGAAAATCTCAGAAGGTAAAACGTCGAACACCACAAGGAAGATCTCCAACGAGTTGGATTGACGAGATCGCAAGAAGTTATAAAAGACATATGCGTTCTTATAGAATTATATTATAATATAAAATTAATTATAGAATTTTAATTATAGAAATTAAAATCGGCACCAACCCTAAAACCGTACCATATTTCTTAAAAATATCGAAGTATGTGTCGGGTTCGACAATTACTTCAATAGGTCGTATTTCTCTTTTTATATTTCCAAAAACTCGATCAGCGGCTAAAATATAATGTCCAACAATAGGGTACTTCACTGTAACCTTTTTGATGTGTCGTGGTGCTTCTGTTTTAAGCCAATAGGCCAACATTCCCACAACTATCGTGTTTTTGTTCTGGCCTCCACAAGTCATCACAAAATAACCTGACATGAGAAATAGTTGCTTTGAAATTGATGTTTTTAATCGATGAAATAATGCTGAGGCTATCTAATTGGACCCTTTCAAAGCTCGGATTCCAACCATGTATAAATGAAGATATTTGAGATATTCTGAGGTCCAGAAGATTTTGTAGACATATTGTTAGATTGTACGTATACAGTTGCCTACTAAAGTAAGCTATCTGATCCGGTAAAACTTTCGGTAAAATCAATTTTTTTTGGCGGTCAAAGGACAAAATTAAATTATCGTCAGCTTGTGTTTTCAAACTTGTATAAAAGGATTTTATACAAGTATGCCTAAGTATACAAGTATACTTTGCCTTTAAAGTATGAACATGACATTTAGTAATCAACGTCTGTTTTATATATATAACAAGCAAGTCTTCTACAGCTGACGCCGCTTCTCGCATCCTAATTTTCGAAGCAATCTTCAGTATGTTTTTAAGACAAATAATTTTCAATTTTAATAGCCTCTTTAAATTAAATACACTTCAAACAAGCATCTGTCACTGGTGTTTTGAATCTTAGGTGGAAGAACTTATTAAATATACGGCGAAAACATTCGTATCGCACTGGTGGATTACTCCCATCATTACTGAACTTAAATATTGCACAAAAGATCTATTTCTTACATAATGTGATTCCAATGATTTTAGACTTTTTATGTAAGATTTTACTGATTCGGTACGCCTAGAATACTGATTAGACCATCTATCACCTCCTCTTCTCTCTTTGGGCAAAGCCATTGTATTTAATTTATTTCTACAAATTTTTTGTATTCTGTCTTTAGATATCCCCAAAATTGTAAGCATTGCTTTTTGGCATACTTTCTTCAATTTGACGCAGCGACTTCCAGTAGATGTAAGTTCATGTTGTGATATAAAATAAGAAATTTGCGTTAAGAAGTCTGGATATTTTTTTGCTGACCTGCTTTTTTGGAGCTTAAAACACACAATATTTGAGCAAAACTGTATCTTGAGCAATTTTATATCCGGACGAATAAAAATGTCGATAAAATTGACTGTAGTGTTGAAGAGACAGTTCCGTACACTCATATCCTTGCTTTAAATTTCCATGTGCACATTGTGGCATTACTGGTGGCCCCTTTTGAATATGCCTGTAAAAAAACGGTATATTTTACATGTGTTTAAGTTGTTAAAGTTAATAATTAACATAACAATCTATATAGTAGTAATGCTCACCGTCTCGATTTTTCACGTTCTCTTTTCCATGCAGACTTATCAATATCATTTTACGCCCGTTCCTATCTGGTGCCAATGTTATTATATTATTTTCCCAGAAAACAGTAAATAAACAAAACTGAACACAACACGTACTCGCATACGGATTGAACTATTCAGATTCAAAGATACCTACGCTGTTTGGAAGTTAACAGTCACATAGCAATTTTTGAAAGTGGATTTCTAAATAAGATAGTGACTTTTGCAAGAGTATTATGTTTTCTACCTCGGCTTATTTAGAATATAACCACTTTTAATGGAGTATAATAATAATGACACGTTCATTTCAATAATGTCTACATATCGGCGTCATTAAAGGAAAATATATATTTTTTTAACACAGCGTGATTTGCAAGTGGACTACTCATATATAATAGTTATTTCTGTGCCTTCTTAAAGCAAAAATCTGAATTTGGTTTCGACAATTAGAAATCTTCGAATTTCGAGTTACGTTATTTATTATCAGATCTCGCTATTGCGTCCATACAACAGGTTTACAACAAACTCTACAGTCCCAAAACCGGAAGACATAGGCAAACGCATAGCCAAACTTTCAAAACCAGTAATAGAAAAAGATCATAAAAGAGAAGTCCGATCTCAGTTAAAACAAGCCAAAATGGCTCAACCACAAAGCCTACCGATAATGAAGCTCATCGAAACAGAAGAACTTGAGGAATCTCTAAAATTAATGAAATGTCGTAAAGCCGCAGGAGTTGGTAACATTTATCCTGAATTTTTAAAATACATTGGTCCGAATGCCAGAAAGTGGCTTCTTGAATTCTACATTCAAATACAAACTAAGCAGAAGTTTCCAAAATCCTTAAAAAAGTAAGATCATCGCAATATCTAAACCTGGGAAAGACCCTGCATTACCTGAGAGCTACAGACCAATCGCTCTTTTAAGCGTCTGCTACAAGATTTTCGAGAGGATAATCCAAACGAGAATATTTTATTTTACAAAGTCAAATATTCCTAAAGAACAAGCTGGATTCATGCCGGGAAGAAGCTGTGGCGACCAAGTCCTCTCCTTAACAACATTTATTGAGAACGGATTCCAAAAGAAACTGAAAACAGTAGCAGCATTCATAGACTTTATCTGCGCTTACGACACAGTGTAGAAGGAGGGCCCTTTATATAAAATATACCAGATGTTACCGTACTGTGCGTTTAACAGGTTGTTAAACCAAATGCTAAGTGGGAGACCTTTCCAAGTACACTCAAATGGGAAAAATAGTAACTTCAGAAACCTGCAAAACGGCTTGCCACAAGGGTCAGTTATGTCTCCTCTTCATTTTTAATATTTATACGTCAGATGTACCAACTACCACATCGCGCAAATTTATTTATGCTGAAGACATGGCTTTAGGTGCCCAAGAAGAAGAAATAAACATCGCCGAATCCACCATAGAAGCAGATCTAAACACTGTTAACAGATACTTTAAGAAATGAGCCCTACAACCAAACCCATCGAAAACTGAAGTAACAGCTTTCCATCTAAATAACAACAAGGCAAATTACAGAGTAAAGATAGAATGCGATGGAACCAGTCTAAAGCACAGTGCTAACCCAAAATACCTCGGCGTAACTCTAGATCGTACCCTTACATTCAAAAAGCATTTGGAAAACACTTCAGCAAAAATTAAGACCCGCAATAATATTATCCATAAGTTAGCAAATACATCATGGGGGTCGAATGCAGAACGAGCGCGCTGTCCTTAGTATATCCTACTGCAGAATATTGCGCTCCTGTCTGGCTAAACAGTCATCACACAAAAGTCATAGATACCCAGTTAAACCAAACAATGAGGCACATAACGGGAACTATAGAGCCCACACCAACCCAATGGCTTCCAGTTTTAAGCAACATCGCTCCACCAGCAACAAGACGACTAGCCTCACTCAATACTCTAGTATAAAAATGCCAACAAAACCCAGAACTACCGATAAACACAGACATCGCTGAACTGCACCAAAGACAGTTAAGACTGAAATCCAGACATCCACCTACTAGAACTGCTACAAAATTGGCTGTTTTCACTACCGAAGAGCACTGGATGGGTGAATGGAATCCGGACATCAGAAATTCCAATCTGATAGAAAACCATACAATCAAACCAGACGGCTTTTCTCTTCCCCTTCGTGAATGGTGCAACATAAATAGAATACGAGTTGATCATGGAATTTGTAACAAATCGTTGAATCAATGGGGTATAAACGCCAGCCCGGAATGTGACAAATGCAGCACTGCTGAACAAACAATTAACCACATCGTCTTCGAGTGTCCAGCCACCAAGATCTTTGGCAGCCTTCAAGAAATCCACCAACTTACTCCCAAGGCGAGAAATTGGCTTCGAGGATGTAACCTTCGACTTTAATTTAATAATTTTAATTTTATATGTTCTGTGTCAGTGTTTACTTATTTACTTACTTATTTATTATTGTTATTGTCACTTTTTTCTTTCCCCTTTCTTTATGTAAAAACTGCAATATGTAAAGTTCATACGAATATATATATATATATATATATATATATATATATATATATATATATATATATATATATATATATATATTGCGTCCATACCGAAGACATTTTAGCCTTGCTTTTATTACGAGAGGAAAGATTGTTTTCACGTTCAGAGCACCTGTCAATAGCCGCTCCGAAGATTCCTTTTAGGATGGAATACGAATAAGCGAATATACAGAGGCACCATACGTGAAATCAAATAATAACTGTATTCCCTCTTAAGAAAAATTACATTTGCTATTACCTCTCTCGTTTATACAGACTCTAAAGTTAATTAAAAATCAATTTAAGTAATTCAAAAACCTAAATTATTTACAATATTTTAATACAAGCAAAAGAAAAAATGTAGTATTTTTTGACGGAGAATTTTGTTGCTATCTAGTTCACATCGGAGATAGAGTTTGATACCAAAAAGACCAAATCTGAAGCTATATTTAACTAGTTGTATCTTTGTGTATGCACTTATACCAAAAATAGACTAAATATTAACCATATAATTATATTTCAGGAATCAATGAAAATTATGGGGCTTCCTAACTGGCTACATTGGTTGGCTTGGTTTGTCAAGTGCTTCATTTTTGTGGTAATCTCTGTAGCATTTATGGTAATACTTCTCAAAATAAGATGGTACTCAAACACAGAATACACAGTTTTTACCTATGCAGATCCATTCGTATTGTTTGTATTTCTATTACTATATTGTTGCTCTATGATTACTTTTTGCTTTGCTCTGAGCGTCTTTTTTTCCAAAGGTAAGAAACTTTAAAATTACTTAGAATTTGGGACGATAACGAAATACTAGTAATGTGATATTACAAATAAAAGTAAAATCTCAAAATGTAACCTTAATAATTTTTGAAGCTCCCAAATAAATAATCAAATGAACTGAAATATTTCTGACAGTAGATTTGCTTTACATATAGCTAGGACCTACTTCAACATGCAAAATCTGCCCTATGCCCATGTGTGCTTCTTCCCTGTGGGTATAGTCTTACCAGAGATCTAAAATAGGCTTTACTTATTCGATTACACTACATTCACATATTTACAAAACGTTATCATGTCTAAATAAAGTACAAAAAGAACAGAGGCAAAACATTTTAGAAAATTATTTTTAAAATTGAGGTGTGTCTAAAAGCTGGTTTTATGCCGTTATCAACTGAATTTAAAAATAGTTACATAAATTACGTGTATATAGAAAAATTCATCATCCTCTTCTGTCCACTGCTGGACATAGGTCTCTCCCATTTTTCGCCACTCTTCACGGTTCTGTGGTTCTTGTTGTCATTTCTTGGATATTAGTCTAATGTCGTCCATCCAGCGTATTGGTGGTCCTCCTCTGCTGCGCTTGTTTTCTCGTGGGCACCAGTCAATTAGTTTTCTGGTCCAACTTGTGTCTTTCAGTCTCGCTATGTGACCTGCCCAATTCCATTTCAGCATGGCTATTTGTTCGATGATATCACTGATACCTGTTCTTTTCCTTAATATTGATTCCTTATCAATATTAAGGACGGAATTTTTATTTCAAATTCATAAATACAGAGAAAGTGGAAGAGTAAATGTTTATCTGGATGAGACGTGGTTTGACACCCAAAACGTTCCAAAATATGGTTGGGCAGATTCTTCTAGCCGCTGTACAACAAAAGCTTTATCAAATAAAGGAAAACATATTACAATAATCCATGCAGAAACAAAAAATGGTTTTATACCTATATCTTTAGCCTTGTCATGCAAACGAAATTACTTGTTTTCAACGAAATTATTGCCAAATATACCACCAAACAGTGTAATTTTGATGGTCAAAGCCAGCTACTACACTGATACCACATAATATACAGTCAACAACGACTGAAACAGAATAAGAGGCAGACAAACAGGAATAATCCTAGTCGCACGAAGAAGAAGAAGAGGAAGATTTAGAAATGATAAAGTTTTGTAAATATGTAAATGTGGTGTATGTAAATATTGTTGCAATTCTTATAACTTTAGTAGACAATGATAAAAACCGGCTTTTAAACACATCTAACAATCAAATAAGTAATGCAAATCGAAAATAAAAGTACGAACCTGTCCAGAGGCGATCTCCCGCTGCCTTGCGGCAGATATCGATAATAAATATGAATGACTCTCTTAGATCTCTGGTAGGACTTTAAATACAACTCGTCTCAGCTAGAGCAAATAAATATTGTAAATGGAAAAAAAAGTATTTAATATTATTTGTATTTTTTTTTTGTTTAGTGTGAGGCGTTACTAAACTTTTTTATTTTAGTTACAATAAATTATTGCATATATTTTTTTAGCAAACACTGCAGCAACTATGGCAGGTTTAGCATGGTTCATATCTTATGCTCCTTATCTATTTATGCAGAATAACTACTCTGAGCTTGCGTTATCTACTAAATTATTATCAAGTTTGTTGCCAAATACTGCTATGGCTTTTGGATTCCAAGTTGTACTTATGTATGAAGGAACCGGAGATGGTAAGTAATTATAGCTAACTAACAATATCTTATTTGATTTGAACAACGATGAAAAAAAGGGGAATATGACTTTAGTAAATAGTTAGCTATTCCCTTAAGCTAAAATTCTCAATGACTGAATAGAATTTCCTTTAAGTTGCGAAATAATTTTTATGTATAATTAATTAATTGTAATGTATGTGTAACTATAATGTATGAAATTTATTTAACCCATTACCGGCCGAGACAATAAACAAAGAGAAATTTGAACAAAGAGAAATTTTACAACCAAAAAGAATTTTTTCTTATGAAAGAAAAAACAGGTGGTTGCGTATACACACCTTTAATCGAATCATCATCATCATCATCCAGCCGTTCCACAACATCAGCAATACTCGTCCTTCTTCGCAGATCTTCGTTTCTTATTTGGTCCTTCGGTTCCGCAACGTCAGTTCCATCCTCTCCTGGGGCTTTGTTATTTTTCATTTTTCCTAACACTTCTCGAATCTCATCATCATCATAATCATCATAATCATCATCAATGGCGCTACAACTCTTCGTGGGTCTTTGCCGCGTTTACTATTGCCTTCTATGTTTGTCGATCATGTGCCAGTAATTTAAACAATTCATCATTACCAGTTGCAGTAAACGACTTCCCAGAAAATTAGGTAAAAACTGCATTAATGTTCATATTTTAAAATACATTAAAATAACATTAGGGTAGGTATAAATTTGTTACAATATTGCAGTTGAATTGATTCTTTGCCAGTGTTGACATTGTATGTTTGGTGGAAATATTTAAAAATGTCTAGACGTGTGTTAGATGTAGATAGTCTAATTTGTAGTGTACATAAGTATTTTATGGATAAAAAAGAAAATGGCGGTCCTTTAAAATCAGTAATGTCTGTTCAACAACGCGTATGTGATGCTCTAGGAATTAGTGAAACCAAACTAAGAGGAGTATTACAAAATTGCAATAATGAACGGCGGAAAGAAGATCACCGAAAAACTCGCCTATCATTGAAAACGAAAGATATTCCAGATGGAAAAAAATTTGAAATTCATGATACCATTTATCGAATGCGAGCCAACAAGAAACATGTGACCTTAAATACAATTCTCTCGGAATTAAAAGATAGAAAATTTGACGAAATTGGCAGAACAAGTCTATGGCAAGTGATACATAATTTGGGTTTCAAATTTCAAAAGAAGGATAACAGAAAAGCCCTGTGTGAAAGAAGTTCTGTTGTGCATAAAAGAATTAACTTTCTAAGAAAATATTCTAAATTAAAAGAAGAAAGGGCAAATTTTATATATTTAGACAAAACATGGATATTTTCTAGGGGTGCAACCAAGATAATATGGCAAGATGATAACATAAAGTCTATCAAACATACTGATGGAGAAGGGAAGCGACACATAATTTTACATGCAGGAGGGAAATCGGGTTTTATAGAAGGTGTTGATTTAAAATTTTCCTCTAAATCAAAATCAAGTGACTATCACGATAATATGAACACAGAAATGTTTGTAAAATGGTTACATAAAAAACTTCTCCCAGGTTTAAGTGAGCCCAGCGTAATTATTTTAGACAATGCACCTACCGCATATCCACGCAAAACCAAAAACCTTTGTTGTGGATCAGATTATTGAAAGTTACGGTCATCAAGTTTTACGTCTGCCACCGTATCAATGGCAGTTTAATCCCATCGAATATATATGGGGAATAGCAAAACAATATTATGACAACCATATTAGGCCTAACGGTTATAGCGATGACGCAGTTCGGGAAACTTGGCGAAATGCACTTTCAATTGTAACTCCAGAAGTGTGGTGCAACTGTATATTCAAGTGCGAGAAACTAATAGGAGATTGGTGGACTCGTGAAATCATAATAACAATTAATGGTGATGACAATGATGATGATGACGATTATGATATTTTTGATGATAATGACTGATTTTCATTTTTGTTGGCATGTTAAATTTTTTTATTTTTCATTAGAAATTCTCTCCGTGGAACAAATATACATAGACCATATTTTCTGTGTGAAGTGTAATATAAAATTATTATTAGGTTTATATAAGCCACATTAGACTTTATTAATGAAGTAATTCTCCTTATTATACTGTCAATTATATAAAAGATTTTCCATTATTATTTAATTAAAAAAAGTTATGGATTATGTTTCATTTCATTTGACCAGTTGATATTTCCCCAAAGAGCAGGTAATTAAAACTGGGTACTTACAATAAAATTTTTAATCCGAAACCCGCGTAAATATAGCGAATCGACTATATTGTATCTCAACTGTAAATTAAATTTCAAGATGAAAAGGTTCGAAACATTCGGAATGTAGATGAACTCTACACTTTTTACATAAATAAATATTATTATTTTTGCACATCCGACATTTTTTCTTGCATTATAAAGGTCTCTTTTTATAATGTGAAAAATAGTATCGACTCTAGTTTCATCTGGTAAAGCAAATTTAGATGGACGTCCATATACTGAGTTTGACAATGATTTTATTCTCTGCTTGTCCTCTATATTTTAGTAAGTTAAGAAAGAGTCCTAACAATTACTGCTATCATGTTGAAGCTGCACCGAGATCCCAATAATTACTGCAATAATGTTGAAAATTGTGATCTAAAATATAGGTAGGTAATTAATAAACTAATTAAGAGTCTATCAAGGAATTACAATAACATCGTTAAAAATAATTAATTTTCAAGTAATCTTAACTTGTAGCGATCAGAATAATACAAACCTCTATTTTTTTCATAATTTACAGATCCTTTTTAATTTTAGGTGTAAGCTGGAGCACTCTATTTAAACCAAATACCCCAGATGACACCTTGAGCTTGGGATTAGTATGGATAATGATTATAATAAACACAATAATGTATCTACTGATTGCTCTTTATATAGAGGCAGTATTTCCAGGAGAATACGGAGTAGCTCAAAGATGGTACTTCCCATTCACAAAGAAATATTGGTGTGGAAATCAAGATATTTCAGGTGATATAAAGATTCATAATTCAAATAATATTTTTACTGTTCTAAGCGCTTATAAGGTAGAATTACGCATTATAGCAATTCCTTAAATTTTTTGCAAATGTTTACTTGGCATAAGACACCAGTAGCGGTTGGTGATAATTTTGTTTAAGGAGCATTAATTCACGAATACAAAAAAAGTACCAAAAGCCTACTTCTTCAAATGAAACTCAATACTTCTGTTTTTGTCGAAGATGCAACTTTTATCACCTTTTCGTTGGAGAACATGGTAATCGCTGTTAGTCTTTTTTCCGACATTGTATTCCTCAAAAACGTTTTGATCAATTCAAAGTGAAGAAACATCTTTAAGTTTCTGCAGTTGTTATTGGCATCGTTATTAAAATAATCACTAAACTTTACTTATATCACATAATGTTGAAACCAAACCATATAGACTATTATTTAAATTACATAAGCAAGCGATGTTTGAATAGGAAAAGATACACAACACAATTCAAAAAATAAAAAGACTAAATATCGACGTGATGGGAATCAACGAGACGAGATGGCTAGGCTCGCTGTAGGTAAACATATAGCGATAGACAGGAATGACATAGCTGTGATTCTGAGCAAAAACGTCGTTGGGGCTATGGTCAGCGTGCTACCTCTCTCTTATAGAATCATTCTGATGAAGCTACAAAGCAAATCCATTAATACGAACATCATTCAAATTTACGCTCCTACATCAGAAAAGCCAAAAGAGGATATCGAGGAGTTTACCATTATTATGGGTGACTTCAATACCAAAGTTGGCAAAAGCAGATTAGAACACATTGTCGGACAACACAGCTTGGCGAGAAAAACGAAAGGGAAGACCGACTTATCCAATTTTGTCGGGAAGAAAATTTTACCATTGCTAACTACTGGTTTAAACTTTATCCGAGATGACTTTATACGTGGGAGTCACCTGCAGATACAGCCAACAATATCATCAGAAACTAAATAGACTTTATTATCATTAACAAAAGATTCAAGAACAGCTTGACTTAGGCAAAGACCTTTAGAAGCAGACGTCTGATCGGACCACAACCCATTAGTGGACCAGATAGAACTCAAACTAAAAAAACTCATCAAACATAAACCTAAACAGAACCTGAATTATGACACTCTAAAAGACCTCATAGTTCATCAGAACGTAAGAGATGGAATAAAAGAAAACTAGAAACGGCTAAACAACAAGAACAGAGTGTAGAACAAAAATGTAGTTATATCAAGGACGTCATGCTAAATGCGGAAAAAGAACATCTGAAAAAGAAAGCAAAAGTAAAAAATAAAGAATGGTTGACTGATGACATTCTGCAGATAATGGACCAAAAGAGATTATTGATATACAGGGGCCCGAAGAAATACCAAGAAATTAACCAAACAAAGAAATACGTATAGCCAAGGAGACATGGATGCAAGAAAAATGTAAACTAATCGAAATGCATCACATTTGTTGCCAAAACTTAAATTTCGTACTATAGGTTTTAACGATTAGGCACTGGTATTCGAAATATTATAGTGGCCAATCAATAAAAGGGATAGATTGTACTGATCTCGTGAGAATAATTGTATAGAATAAGTGACAAAAATTGCACTACGTTTGTTTTTGACATTTGTTTTTAAATTTAACACTTGTATAAAATCTAAGGTTATTTGCGGCAAAATACAAAAAACTGTCCGAGTAGCTGATACAAATTTTATTGAACATTGATTTCGCGCCAGTAACTGGCATGCAAAATCGACTGTTACTTCAAGCGTTTTTTCTAAGAGAATGGTTCCTTATACACAAAAAATGCTAATAAACAATTTTGTTTAATATTATCTCAGCTGAATTCTTTAATTTAAAACAATTTTTCCAAGGTATACAAATTCTTGTTAAATCGTTTTTTTTTTGGCTTTTTTACCCTTCTGCGGGGTGGGGCGAGAGGTTTAGGGGGAAGCCCGGAGGTGAAAGATTTTTTTGGGGTCTCAAAATTAATATTCTTGACAAAATTCAGCTCGTTCGTATGTTCGTATACAGTATTGGAAGATTCAAAACGGAACATACGAATTATTTATACAATTATTAAGATCCCCTGACCTGCAATTACCCAGTGTAAATTTCAATATAACGTCGCGATGTCTTATAATTAATTCATTTGTTCGACTGGACTCCTTCTCCAGTCGATATTTTTCGACTGCTGCGCACGTGCGCACCTTAATAATACGACTAATAGTTGATTGTGTCGGTATTGGCCTATCTTCATACGCACAAGTAAATAAATTTATAATATCACCGTACGAGTTGCCCCCATAATACCATTTTAAAATTTGTACTTTTTCTTTGTTTGTATACATGGTTTATGGTTAGAAACACTACTTTTATTTCAGCTTATGGCGTTATAATGAGAAGCAAAGCAAAGGGCATGTATTTGTTTTGCTCGGCCAGTGATGTTCCTTGGGACTGTTGCCAAATCGATAGATACCTTCGACAAAAATCTGTAGATTTTGATGTATCATATACATACTTTTAAATTTTAAATTATCAACAATATTTGGAATAATAAATATATTAAACTATACACTAACCAATTCAAATAATATCTAATGAACACAAAAAAAATGTTATTAATAAAACATTGTTATTATCTGCACAAAAACACAGAGAATCAGTGGACGATAGACAACAGTGTCGACGTACACCTGTCGAATACGCTACTAGAAATCGCCAAGGAGTAGCAATCCAGTCGAACAAATGAATTATTTATAAGACATCGCGACGTTATATTGAAATTTACACTGAGTAATTGCAGGTCAGGGGATCTTAATAATTGTATTAATAATTCGTATGTTCCGTTTTGAATCTTCCAATACTGTAGATGTTCAGTGGCATTTTGAACCTCATCTAGGAAACATTAGATGCAAAACTAATCCCACAACAAGCAGGCTTTAGATCAGGTAAATCATGCACACGCCAAGTGCTGAACCTAACAGAATACATAGAGAAGGGATTTGAGCAGAAAGAGATAGTGGGAGTAGCCTTGATAGACCTCACAGCGGCCTATGATACGATAAACCACAAAACCTTGCTAACTAAGATCTATAACACTGTGCTTGACTATGACCTGGTAAATATCATTAGATCACTGTTGTGTATTAGACGCTTCTACGTTGTGTTAAATGGAAAGAAGAGCAGATGGAGAACCCAAAAAAATGGGCTACCTCAAGGAAGAGGTCTGGCGCCATCCTTATTTAACATCTACACCAACGACCAACCAATGCACCCTTAGACAGAGAGTTTTGTTGCTGACGACCTTGGTATAGCAGTAAAAGAACAAACACTCACATAAGTAGAGTCGACAATGGAAGAGGCTTTAAACATGATATTAACTTACTACAAACAAAACTCATTAAAGCCAGACCCTACTAAAACCCATGTATGTGCATTCCATCTTAACAACCAACTGGCGCATGCAAAACTGAATGTTTCTTGTGAGGTACAACGCTTGAAACATACTGATAGGCCTAAATATCTTGGAGTGATACTAGACCGGTCACTAATGTATAAATTCCACTGTCATACCACAAGATAAAAGGTTTCGAGAAACAACCTTCTCCGGAAACTGCAGGGAGCAAGTGGGGTGCAAACCCCCAGGTCTTGAAATCAACAGCTAAGGCCCTATGTTTTTCAACAGGGGAATATGCTTGTCCTGTCTGGGGTAGATCTAGACACGCCCAACAAGTCACCACGGCGTTAAATGAAACATGTAGAATAATTACCGGTTGTATGAAGCCTACCTCTCTACCCCTTCTATACAGGGTAGCTGGATTCGCATCATCAGACGACCGTAGATGCACCTCACAATATGTGGAGAAGTTCAGGCAAACATTCGATGAAAGGCACCAATTATACGGGTTAAACGGACCGCCAGGAATCAGCCGACTTAAATCAAGGAAAAGGTTTATGAGAAATCTCAGCGGCGAACTACCCGAACTGTTCCCCCTACATTCAGAACGGCCTAATGGAATGAACCTGGACTGAAGGACCTGGCGGACACTCAACCGCACACGGACAGGTGTTGCCCCTGTAAAACAGAACCTCATTAAAGTGGGCATCAAGACAGATAACGACGCACTTTGTGAATGTGGGGAGATACAGAACGTGGTACAGAGAGAATGCAGACTTTGCCCATCACAATACACCCTCGATGGCTTGCAAATACAAAGGGTGTAGTTGTAGCCCGATATTGGGCAAAAAAACTGTAGTCGGATCCAGACACGAAAAGTTAAAAGTAAGTCAGTAAGAAGTCTTGGAGATGTAATGTTTAATAAAAAATAAGTGGTCTTAAACTTACAAGCCATGGACATTTATTTTGAGAACGATTTCCAAAGTGAAAATGAAAAAATTCCACGAGGAAACTAAGTTCCTGTAGCTGGCTGTATACCATATATCACAAAAAAATTTTGTTAAAATCCTTTATAAAAGGTATATAAAAATGCCTCAAACGGGCTATCACAAACACATTGCAAAACGTTTTTGAGTTAAACAATCCATCATCAGTGCAAACGGTTGTACATGCTAGTAGCCACCAAAATATATGGGTAAAAACCCTTTAAATGTTATAAATTTGAATTTGTTTTACAAAATATGAAAATGAAAACGTCAAAATAAACGTATTATAAACTAAAAATTGTGGTTAATTCCTACTAAAGATAGTAAATAACTGGAAAATTTGGGCATACAATTCTTACTCATTATATACTCATATAATTTTAATAAAATCGGAATTTGGCGGTCCCACAATTTACTTAATTACAAAATAACACATTTTTTTGTTATTTTAGATTACAATAACTATAATGAACATTCAGCTAATGAATTCTTTGAAACGGAACCTAACCTTAGACCTGGAATTCAGATATTTAATCTAAAGAAAGTTTTTGGCAAGAAAACCGCTGTAAGGGGCCTAAGCTTAAATATGTTTGAAAATCAAATCACAGTTTTGTTGGGTCATAATGGAGCGGGAAAAACTACAACGATGTCCATGTTAACAGGTAAGTCATACACATTTACATAACTTGATAGTTCACGGGTATCTTTTCTTTCCAATTATTTATTACCTGATCAGTTCGTTTAAAAAAATATAAACTGCTGAACTAAAAATTACGTAAATTTACTTAATTTTAAGTTTGATTATATATAAGTTTACAAATAATTGGCTTTTTACATTGTAAAGAAACGAATAGACAAGATACCAACTGTTTGTTCTGCAGCAGTATTTGCGATGGTTTTTGCTTTTTTGAAATCTATTTGTGGCCTGTCTGAATATGATGTTGGACTAGGGCTGAATAGTATCGGAATATTTGACAGATAGAATGTTCGTAAATACGGTTATGAATTCGTCAATTTGTCTGTCTTATGTACTTGAGCAACTGAAACAAGGTATCTTGTAGATACCGTGCTCTTCATTGGGGTTTTGGTCTTTGACAGATCTAACGAGATTGGATAACTTGGAGTGAGTAGTGAAGATGGTTTTGATGTTTAGAGGAAGAAGAGTTCTACTGATTTTGTCAGTGACACCTTTATTAAAAGGTAGAAAGATTTTGGGTTGATCAAGTGGCAAAGTTTCTGTTTTGGATGGAATGGGGTTTAGATGTTTTTGAATGTTGCTATTGATTTGGGCTTTTTAGTAGCCGTTTTATAAAAGTATTTGCCTTATTGAATTGATTTCGGATTAGCTGTAATTGTTGTCGCTAAGTCGTTATGGAACGGGAAACAAGAGTGTTAATAACTGAATTAGGTTGGGCGAAGTGATGATGTGATTCGACATTGAGATAACGGTTTGTATGGGTGGCTTTTCGGTATACGGAAAATAAGAAACTGTGAGGTGGGTATTTGTGAAAAAGAACATCAAGAAATGGCAAAGACAATTCAGACTTAACTTTTATCGTGAATTGAATACTGGGATGTTTTCCATTCAGGTGGGAGAGGAAGAGATCTAATGTGTCTTTAACCATGGGGCCAAATGACAAAGGTGTCATCAACTTACCGTAACCAGCAGGTGGGTTTGAGATGTGATGAGGCCAGAATTGTTGTTTCAAAATGTTCCATGTAGATATCAGCTATTACGGAAGGGGAGAACTTTTGATTTGACGATAGAAATAATTTTGAAATAAAAAGTATGTATTAGACATGCAGTTGTTTTGTAAGAGATATGTGTCTTGGGGGATTTCATGTTTAGAGTCCAAGATGAAAATGGTTTCATCGATAGGAATGTTGGTGAATAAAGAAACAATGTTAAAACTAACTAGTATATGTGAGTGTGAAATAGAAATGTTTTTCAGAAGATCAATGAAATGAAAAGAGTTTTTAGCAAAGGACGGGGCGTTTTCGGCTAATTGTCTTAAGGATTAAGTGAGATGTTTTGCCAATTTCTATTTGTGGTAGTTGTATGCATTGACCGTGGCTCCAAGAGGACATTGAGCTGATGGATTTTTGGATGACTGTATATCCTTGGAATTTGGGATGATTTTTCTCCGGTAATAAGAGACTTTTTTATGTCTGAATGTAGGGTAGACTTATTTATGATGGATTTGGTCGTTTTTTCTAAATAGGTGGTGGGATCGTTTGAGAAGTGGTTGTTTTCTGTAAAATTATGAAGGTCAAACACTTTGTTGAAATAATTAGAAGAGTTAAGAATGACGGTGGCATTACCTTTGTCGGCCGGAAAAATGACAATGTAAGGGTGGTTAAAACGTTCTTTGAGGGAACCTCTTTCTGAAAGACCGATATTTGACGGTGGGGGTTTTAAAGCACAAATCATTCTGGCGACATCTTGTCTGCCAACTTCAGCTTGGTCGGAAGGAAGATGAGAAATAGCTTCTTCATTTTGACAAATAATTAGCTCAGTTAGGATGGAAAGAGGAGTGACAAAAAAATTAAAGCCTGTTGACAGAGCTTTGGTAGCTGAATCCATTATGTGATTCTGTGCGATCTAAAAATTGCAAACAACAAGAAGGTTGTTGATTCGAAATGGGCTGTGGATTTTGCTGTTAGATAAGTTGGTCTAGTTTGCGTTTCTGGGTTTAGGTTTTCTTGTCAAAAATGTGTTTCCCTTTTAATCGAGAAGGACGATCAAAAGTGTCTTGTAATAATATTGAAATAGTGTGTGTCAATCTGAGTACTAGAAATTTGTTTACGATGGATTTTTGCCTAAATAAGTTGACGTGTTGGAATAAAATTTTTTATATCAGATGTCAGTTCATTTATTAAATTGATTTCGAATGAAGTTTTATTGTTTGTATTTTCTTTATTATCAAGTCATGTATTTATTGAGAAATCGTAGCCTTATCAATTTCTTTCTTTTACTGCCTTTTAGATATTTTTATTTTTATTTTTCACTTTCTTCACATTCATTTATTGTAAATGAAATTTACAGGAATGATAAGCCCAACAAATGGCACTGCATTAATAAATGGGCATGATATTCGGTCAGACATGGGAGGAGTCAGAAACAGCTTGGGTCTTTGCCCACAACACAACATCATTTTCGATGAGCTTACTGTTGAAGAGCACTTGTATTTTTTTAGTAAGCTAAAAGGTTTGTCTAAAAACAAAATAGAAGCAGAAATAGATAAATATGTCAAGCTACTTGATTTGGAACCAAAGAGGAGGGAGAAGTCCAGTACTCTATCAGGTGGAATGAAAAGGAAACTTTGCGTTGGAATGGCCTTGTGTGGAAATTCAAAAGTTGTTATGTTGGACGAACCTACTGCTGGAATGGATCCGTCGGCGAGAAGAGTCTTGTGGGAGTTATTACAAAAACAAAAAGAAGGCAAGTTAAACAAATTTAGATATATTTATTTCATTAATCTACTTATATAATTTACTTTTTTTAATTTGTTATTGAAGGTCGAACGATATTGCTTAGTACCCATTTTATGGACGAAGCAGATCTTTTGGGAGATAGAATAGCAATTATGGCTGGTGGAGAGTTGCAATGCTGTGGATCTAGCTTCTTTTTAAAGAAAAAATACGGTGCGGGATACAGTCTTATTATGGATAAAGCAAAAACTTGTAATCCACATAAAGTTACAGAGCTACTGAAAAAGTTTATACCAGAAATAGAGGTAAGATGTTTAATAGAAAATATAAAGCATACATAAAAATAATATATAATAATATTATGTGATGTAACTTCCTATGGGAGTTTTTATCAGTTATTTTATCAGGCGCGGCCCCTTGCGAATGGGAGATACTCTCTGGGTATTTTTAGCACTGATACCCAGAAGGTAGCAGGGTTATCTGCCATGGAACAAAAACTGACACCTGGCAGTAGGTATAAAATGCACACTCATGAAAATGGAGAGTAATAATTTATGTTTAGGGTCGCTGCCAGGGTATCGCCAGAGCACGTCTGGAGCCGGAGCTGGACATGACAGCAAGCGGGACGTCGGTGGCAGGGTGTTGAGGAGGCGGACCCCTGTCATACAATCAGCTACAGCCCAACAACAACCACAACAACAAGTTAGCCAAACAACAACAAGAGCTCCACTCGCTGAAAGTGCTGCGCTCTCACATCAGCCGGCGCTCACTTAAGCGGGACGACCGAGGCAGCGCATGAAATAAACAATGTCTATAAATGAAAATATTTTGCGTTTCTATCACAAGGTAACGAATCTCGGTCGAGAAACGATCGTTTATCGACAACATCTGTATGCCGAATTTTGCGGGGAGTACCCAGAGATTGGTACCTGGAGATAATTATCAGAAATAATCTTATCACAGAGGCTAGACGCGATACCATCAAAAGCGAAGTGGAACATGAAATTTATAACCAAGACCTAGTTGTGGATCAAGTCGATAATGAAATCCCTAATGAGCAGATTCCTGAACCCTTTATACAAGAAACTCAACCCAATAAGACTAGATTTTTTAAACTAACCAATAATATTTCGGAAAACGTTATTGAATACTTTCAACATATATATATATATATATATATATAGCCAAATTGGTAGGATTATCGACCGAAACGTAAATAACAATTTATTGTATTGGTGTATCGGGTATGCGGTCTGTTATTAAAAAAAAAACTCTTTTTTCTTTTAATTCTCTATATTTCGCTGATTTTTTGTCAGCTTCATCAGGAGACAACTAAAATATGGTTAAAAGTTATACATATAAAAATCAGGGGAGAATAAACAATGAATCACTTACAGATTTAGAGTTAAAAATATTTAGAAAAGTTGTTGTACATAGTATGTTCAAAACAGTACTGACAGTATTGGTTAAAAGCACCTAGGTCAGTAGTAATTAAATACAAAAACAGAGCAAACAAAAATAACCAAGAAACAAATAAAACACAATAAAATTACACATTAAAAATATACAGGGTGATTTAAAATATAATTGTAAACAGAAAAATTATTTAAACATACTAAAAATATTACAGTAGATATTGCTCAACTGTCCTGTGTCTGTCTTGTAATTTGCTGCATAGTTTTCTCTATTTATATGACACATTTCCAAAAACAATATTTTTTTGTAATTATTTTCTTGCTGTAGAACCCTGACATTTGAATAGTCAAATTGATGGCCACTTTTTAAGTGATGGTCAACTGCCGCACATGTATTCTTTTCTTTTGTGCAGTCACTTTTGTGTTGTGTGACCCTTTGTTTTAGCCACTGAGAAGTTTGGCCAAAAAAACAGCTCTGGTAATCAAACAGGGCAGTTTGTAGATATCATTAGTTTTATTTACAGTTGGTGTCTTGTCTTTTACTTTAGAAAACAGTTGTCGGTTTTCTAATAAATTATATTGGACAATTTTAATGTTAGTAAATTATTTAAATAAACTAGTCACAGCAGGTGTTAACTGATTTATTAATGGTAGTTTTTTATATTGGATTGTTTGTACTGCTCCGATATCAGTGGGACCGTCAAAAATGTCTGAATTAAAAATCAATTTTTTAAGGATATGTTTTGGGTATCCATTATTTTGAAAGATGTTGAACAGTAAGTTTAAGTTTCTGTTTATGAATTTATCATCACTAATATGCCTTACCCTATTCTTCACTACAATGACTGTATTAAAATTTTAATGAGTAGGATGATTTGAGAAAAAGTTTAAATATCTTCCAGAGTGTGTTGGCTTTTGATACCAATCTATCAATATTTTGTTTTGTTCAGTACTTATTAATTTGATATAAGGTTGAATGCTCGAATAAATGAACTTTGATAATATACAAGGCAAATATCGAGCACAGTATTAATTTAATCTTGCCCAAGTACTTTCGATCACTAGATCACCTTCAGGGGCATTTCGTCAATTGCGGCCTATCCGACAAGAGTAGAATGTCATAAATATAAAATGGGACATCACAATACACTACACAAAGACAAACAAACACTTAAAATTTTTGAAGATAGTCGAAGCTACATGTCGATAGAAGCCGGAGACAGAATGAATTCTAAATGAAAACCAAATTTTTTGATAGGGAAGACTAGTCACTGACCCCCCAGGGGGAGTGTTGTGGTCGACGTGATGTCGTGTATTGTCCGTCTCCAGAGATCTCTGTCTCTGGTCATTTCTTTTAATTCATGCATAGGTCTTTGGCATATTCCTGTAATTTGATCTATCCATCTTGTTGGGGATCTTCCTCGTGATCTTCGGCCTTCTACCTTTCCTTGTATTATGAGTCTTTCCATGTTTTCTGTGTTTGCTCTCATAACATGCCCAAAATATTTTAATTGTTGGAGATGGACTTTACTAGAGAGTCGTTGGCTAACTTTTAGCTCTCTTAAAATTGAATTATTTGTTCTACGGTCGGTCCAAGGAATTCGTAACATTCGTCTCCAACAGAACATTTTAGTGGCGTCTATCTTTCTTCTCTCCGATTGTCTCAGAGTCCAAGATTCACATCCGTAGGTCAGTATTGGGAATATTAAGCAGTTGATCAACCTCATCTTTATCGCTCTTGAAATTTGACAGTCCTTCCATATTTTGGTCATTTTTGCTGTGGCAACTTTTGCTAGATTACATCTACGTTTAATCTCTTCTTGTTCTTGTAAATTCTTGATAAATTTACTAGTTATAGCTTAATAAGTGAAAAAAATATTGGGTAAATAAAATAATAGAAGACTTCAAATTTTTATTACAGTTTTGTTAAGTTTATGTGGTTTTTCTGTCCCAGCTAGAATGTAAAAACACAGTGGTTGCACTCAAAATCAAGATTAAGTTACAACATTGTATTTTTCTCTATTGCTTATTCACCAATTTTACACTCGTTACGTCCTCTCTAGAGGGAGGGGGGCAGCTGCCCCCTCTGCCCCTCCCTGTGGACGCCCATGCTTAACCAACGGACTTAAATAATAGATTTAGTTAGATAATTACAAAATGTGCAATTGTAGTTTTGTAAACTAATATTAACGGTATTTTGTCATTCGAGAAGATTTCTACATGTCTTAATAATCAATATTCGTACAAAGATTTAACATGTCTTAATAATCAATATCTAAGAGTCATAAGTCTTCAAATCTGTACAAAAATAACAAACCAAAAGTTTTCCATAGCAGGATAGATATAATTTTAAAATTTTTATTTTTTTTTTTCAGATCCATAGCAATGTTGGAAGTGAACTAACTTATTTGTTATCTGAAAATAACGCTCCTGTGTTCGAAGCACTGTTAAAACAAATAGAACAAGAGTCATATGAACTTGGAATCAGAAGCTATGGTATTTCATTAACCACTATGGAAGAAGTGTTTATGAAGTAAGTTCAGTGGTAGTTATTCTCCTTTAGTTAATATCTAATCGGCAAAAATTGTTTTGTAAGTTAAAAGTCAGTGAGAGAAAGGTTTTTGTGTTACATTCCTGTAATATAGATAACCCTAGTAAATTCTCCTATTACCCAAAAGTAGACATTTTAAACAGGTACTAGTGTATGCAAGATTAATAAAACGTGTGAATGTGTCGTGTACAATTTGAGAAATAATGTTGGGACGTAGAGGATAAATCCGTGAACAACAGGACATGTGCCATTCTTCTCATCAAGTAAGATATCTATATCCAAATAAACGAATATTAAACGAGCGGGTCTTATTTATGTTAATATATTTATTTATAAGTTTACAGTATGATTATATATTATCAACTAGCGTAGCTACTAATATCAGCGCTACTTTTATATACAAGTTATTATGTGCTAAAATATTCTGGAATAGTCCACCTCTATTCAGCGCATCGATCTTAATCTCGGTCGATACATCCAAAAGGTATAAAAGAATTATATGCCCCATGCACAAAAAAGGAAACGTTATTGAATGCTCCAACTTTAGAGGGATTTCCCTTCTTAATACAGCATACAAAATTGTGTCCCTGATACTTAACGAACGACTAGCACGGTATACTGACAATATAATAGGATCCTATCAAACAGGCTTCTTGAAAAATAAATCTACCATTGATCACATATCATCTATCAGACAAATATTAGAAAAAACGACGGAGTACGACATAGACTGCCATTACATCTTGGTAGACTTTAAGGCAGCGTACGATACTATTGATAGGTCCCAATTATATTCGGCGATGATCGAATTAGGAATACCAAAAGGTTTGGTAGAATTAATTAAAATGACAATGATGAAAGTCGAATGTAAAGTGCGCGTACAAGGGGATGTTTCAAAACCATTTAAACCAACAGAGGACTACGCCAGAGAGATGCGCTATCGTGCACGCTGTATAACCTAGCGTTAGAAAAAGTTATGAGAGATTCGGGAATAAACTTAAAAGGTACGATATATACCGATAATATCGTCATAATTGGTAGAACCCAAAATGAAGCCATGGAGGCTTTCACACGTATCAAAAATGCCGCAGAAAAACATCGGACTTCTGATTAACATCCAGAAAACTAAATATATGCCGGCCATATCAAGAATTCAACAAAATAACTTAGAGGTGCAACACGAAACGATAGAAATGGTAGAAGAATTCTGCTACTTAGGATCACTGGTAGACTACAAAAATAACACATCCAACGAGATAAAAAAAAGAATATGCGTGGTTAACCGCTGTTATTTCGGCCTGGGCCCTCAACTAAGAGCGAGAAGTATGTCAATAGCAACAAGGTGCAAACTTTATAAAACAATAATACGCCCAGTGCTCACATACGGATCGGAAACATGGACAATGACGACCCGAGATGAAGAGTTACTACGAGTCTTTGAAAGAAAAGTATTGAGGACCATATTTGGCGGAGTAAACGAACAGGGTCTGTGTAGAAGGCGATATAACTTTGAACTCTATAGACTTTTGGTGATGCAGATATTGTGAAGACCATCAAGATAAACCGCCTAAGGTGGATGGGCCACGTTATGCGGATGGATAAGAGTGATCTCACTAAAATAACTATGCTAAATAGGCCGGTCGAAAGAAGAAGAAGGGGGCGACCTAAACTCAGATATCTGGACGATGTACAGGAAGATCTGAGGGAGATTGGAGTGAGGGACTGGAGAAGACAGACACTCGATAGGGAAGGATGGAAGAATGTTTTGAAGCAGGCCAAGGCTCACGAAGGGCTGTAGCGCCAACTGATGATGATGAGAGGATAAATCCGTGAAAAACAGGACATGTGCCATTCTTCTCATCAAGTAAGATATGTATATCCAAATAAACGAATATATCTCGGTTATAATTAAGTATGTATTGTAGCGTATTTCAATAAAACGAGCGGGTCTTATTTTATGTTAATATACAGTGGTGAGTGCTTTATCAACCGGCTTTTTAACGTAAGAGATAGAAAACACAGTTACCTTGTGAAATAAAAAGAGATGAAACTCGTAGAGGTGGGAAATAATCGATAGAAACCTATAATTTACATTACATTGCATTAACACTATCGATAGTCTCACACCTTTAGACGTTAGTTCAGCTAAATCACCTCGGTCATAATTATTATTTGTGACGTCGTATGTGTAACGTATTTCAGTGACATTTTTTTAAATTTGCATAAAGTAAAAAATGATTGACCACAATTAAAAGCAAAAATGTGAATACAATAAATTAATTATTAGTGAATATTTAATCTAAAGTTTTAAATTAATAACCAAAAATAATTTCTATGATTTGAGGAGTTTCATACACTCTTGTCACGGAAATAAACATCAGTCCTTTGTGGATTAGTGGTAAGAATTCGACACTGCGACGCAGACGATTAGAGTTCAAAACCCATATGTGGTTTTCTTTTTTTTTTTTAATAATTTGAAATTATGCAGAGATCGTTTTGATTTGAATCACTAAACATTTATGTCAGTCGTTACTAGTATTAGAAGTGTTTAAAGTTACACATAAATATCTTTTTGAATTTGAATTATTTTGTATTTCCGTTTTATAACATTGGAATAAGAATAAATTGTAAATAATGAGTTTTTGAAAACTTGTTACCTAATATGTATAATATTTTCTATTATTTTTTGATTGAGTAAAACAAAAATTTTATCCTTGGTGGGAATTGAACCCCAATCTTCTTGTCAATAGACCACGTGTCTAATAATTACACCAACTCCACATACAATTAATGTTTTCGGATAGAACATACCTACCTTTAGTTTAGTCAAATATTTCAGTTGATTTATTTTTATTATTGAATAAACTTAAAGATTTATAATTTAAAATCGCTACTAATTAATGTTTTTTACTTTAATTCTAATTTATTCAATCATTTATTCTTACATCAGAAATTATGAAAATAAAATATTTTCGCGGTCATCCGTATAATTATGACTGAAGTCAAATAGCCACGTCTAAGAACTAGCTTTATCTCATTCTTTCTCACAAAATCCATCTTCTATCCTTTCCGCTATTTTGCCGGGTTTTAAAGCGACTTTAAACACTTCTAATACTATAATAACGTCTAAAGGTGTGAGACTATCGACGGTGGTAATGTAATGTAATGTAAATTATAGGTTTCTATCGATTATTTCCCACCTTTACGAGTTTCATCTCTTTTTATTTCACAAGGTAACTGTGTTTTCTATCTCTTACGTTAAAAAGCCGGGCGATAAAGCACTCACCACTGTAGTTATTTATAAGTTTACAGCATGATTATATATTATCAACTAGCTTAGCTAATATCAGCGCTACTTTTATATTGAAGTTATTATGTGCTAAAATATTTTGGAATAGTCCACCTCTATTCAGCGCATCGATCTAAGTGTACACATACATTGGAACCGTATTTCTCCTGATCCGATATCGGACGACGTCGGCCGACGTCGGATTGAAAACAAACTAAAGGTATTAAATCATAGTGCCTATACTGCTTCCATGACGAAGCAGTATAGGCACTCTGATTTAATACCTTGAGTTAGTTTGTAATCCGACGTCGCCAGATATCGGATCGGGAGAAATACGGTTCCAATGTAGGTGTACACTTAATCTCGGTCGATACATCCAAAAGGTTCTCTAACATAGATCATCGTCGTCTCGAGATACAACCGGTAAATGGGCTATGTCGAAATAATCAAGTTCGGTACACTGCTTCCCTCTTAGATTTGAGCATCCCGATCAGCAACTCTATGTAGGCTCAGGATGGCGGAATCTACAGAACTCCTCAGCTCTGCGTGAAGTCCTCAGAAAGAAATATCAGTCTAGTGTCTTTAAAGGACACGATCTCTTCGGATTAATGCTACACACAGCAATTTGTACGCCGGATTCTCAGAAGAGAAAGTATGCTTCTGACAATCTTCCGATCCAGATTTTCTAGTGCATGGCATATCTTGTCATAATTGCATACAGTTTTCTTTAAGTTAAGTTTCTTAGTTAGGGCACGCCATATATTCCTGTAGCTTGCCCTGTCTGTATATGACTTTCTGATCACTATATACAGTAAAGATAATCTCTATCATAATATATAATCATAATCTCTTCATAGATTTCCGACAAGCATACGACAGCATTAAAATGGCAGTAGATCTAGAGTGCGGACAGGTAACAAGCTCTCAGAGTCGTTTGAAATAAACAGTGGACTGAAATAAGGAGACGCGCTGTCACCTTTTCTTTTTAATATAATCCTGGAAAAAGTAGTAAGAACCGCACAAATTAGAACAGAACTACTGACAGTAAATGGACCAGAATTACTACTAGCATACGCGGATGACATTGACATTGTAGGAAATACCATCACCAATGTAAAAGAAACCTTATTGCCTCTCTCTACAATAAATTAGAGAGAGAGGCAATAAATATCGGTCTAAGGGTCAATGAAGAGAAAACCAAATATATGTGCATTAACAGACAAAAAAAACGAGATAGAATAGGAAAAAATGTAACAATAGACCCCTATAACTTTGAAAGAGTGGAGAGTTTTAAATATCTTGGAGCGACTATCACCACAGATAATGATATCACGGAAGAGATAAAAGGGAGAACTCAGGCAGCAAACAGATGTATGTACAGCCTTCACAACACTATTAAATTCAAGAGCCTAACACGAACATCAAAAATCAGGATATATAAAACAGTAATTAGACCGGTGCTCATATATGGGTGTGAGACGTGGACGCTGACAAAAGCAATGGAAAGTAAACTCAGATGCTTTAAGAGAAAAATCTCCAGAAAGATCTTCGGTCCCTATCACGATCCGAATACTAACCAATACCGAATGAGAACAAATGCCGAGGTCAAACAAATGTATAGTGCTAGCGACGTAGTCCAAGAGATTAAATCCCAACGTCTGAGATGGGCTGGCCATGTTCATAGGCTCCCTAATAACCGCCTTACCAAGTTAATCTGGGAAGAAGTCCCGACATGGAGAAAGCCCTTAGGACGTCCACGAATGCGATGGAGAGATAATATATGGTCAGATTTGAGAACACTGGGGCTACCCACTGACTTAAACATCATGAACGACCGTTCGAGATGGAAGCAGGTTGTGCAGTCAGCCAAGACCCACCCCGGGTTATAGTGCTACCAGAAGAAGAAGAAGAATATACAGCAAAGATCGAGGACCATCTTCTAATCTCAGTATTCTTCCAACTCTAGGCTATTAATTTTTTAACTTGTCCAAACGACTGAACTTCTTATAAAATACGGATAAGATTCTATTAGTCATCTCAATATCTTAGGTAACACAGTGAGCTAGAGAGACGTTATGCGGAAGACTAAAAATATCCTGCTGAACCTATGTGGTCACGACGAAACTAACACTCTTTCTCTCTGCGCACTAAGATTTCTTCTCCTACTTCTGTTAGATTTTAGTTGACTTGTTGGATCACTTTTTGATGCATTTCTCTTTTTCTTAATTTTGTATAAGCAAATGTTGGTTTGTTTTTAAATATTAGAATTATTTTTATGTTCATTATTGCATGTGTTCAAAATTGTGTTCATCATTACAAAATATTGACAAAAATCCACAAGTCTATCCCCTCTTTCGTTTCTGTCACCTAGTCCAAATTTCCCAATATATTCGTTAACTTTTCCTCTACCGACCTTAGCATTACTATTGTAATGTCTTCGTTTTTAATAGATCTTAAAATTGTGTCTAACTCCATGTAAAAATGTTCTATCTCCCGTTATCCGCTGTTGGTGCGTATACTTGAATTAAGTTAACTTGTTGTATATTTTTCTTCAGCTTAACCATTATCACTCTCTCTTTGAGTAAACAGTGAAGCTGATAACTGATTTCTTGATAGCCTGGGATGAGCCCAATCGTTGTTTCCAGCATAATACATCATGTCATTTTTGAACACAAGTTAGCCGAAGTCTGGCCATTGTACGTCAATGATGCCCAGTATATTTATTTCCATTCTGCTCATTTTTTGAAATAAACTTTCCAATTTTCCTAGCTGGCACAAGCTTCTTACATTCCTTTTTTCAAGTCTTATTGGTCCACATTTGTGTATTCTTGGACTTGAAATTTTATTATCTAAACGAGGATTTTGCTTGCTATCGACCTGGAAGGCATCGTCTTTTACATGATCTTTTCCTTCTTTGCCGGATCTTGGTTTTCAGATTCCATGATCAGTAACGGTTTGACTTTTTTGCGCATTGGTCATGATAAATGACTAGGGATGTTCTGTTGAACCTTTAATGCAGTGGTTTCCCCTTACCATCTGCATTCTTCTGCCGTTAATGAATTTATGGTTCTTTTGCCTTTGGAGTCGATTTCTCAGCTTCAGGACGAAAGATTGTCCTACTACCTACCGACTTATGCGCCCAGAGCCGTTGGTCGGTAAGCAGGGAATTGTTTATACCGGTAATCACTCGGTCCCTATCTGCGTTAGCCATCAACATTGATGTTGCCCACTTTCTATCAAGTGGAGATGCAGGTTAGGATTCTTCCTTCATTGAGATTAAGACCTATCGCATTTTCTAATCTCTCCAGATCTGTAGAAAGATATGAAAGCTGGGAACGAAATTGTATTACACTAATACTGCTTAGAGCATCTTGCCTAACATATTAGTGTAAGCATTATTTTGAATTAATTAAATTGTATCAATATGGAACAACTACCCACCACTATGTCAATGGGGTTTATTAAGTTAAAAATAAATAAGTATATTGTATTTTGACAGTTATTCAGCAGTCTCTTGCGATTAAAACCCAAAATTTGATGACGCAATTAAATTTATATTTATTTTACATTATCTTCAGATATATTAAAAATCTTTGTAAAATATTTAGCAGTATTTAGTTTAGTATTACAATAATATTATATTTTAGAGTTGGTGCAGATCATGGCCAAGAAGAGATTTACAATGAAAAACAGAAAAAGGACAAAAAAGAAAAAAATCCGATACTCACTTCTGCCGATTTAGGTAAGATTTGATTATTTTACTCGTTTAAAACCTGTAATTTATTTGATTGAATATTTGAAAAATATATCTATGGGCTATGTTTGCTATGTTTTGTTCTGGTCATATTTGGATATAGACTCGTATTAGCCTCTATCTGGGAAACATCTTGTATTTTCAGTTTTCGTAAGATTTTAACCTTATCTTATCTTAAGTATCGTGTATTCTCATACCCAATAACGGTTTAACAACTTTTTGTGTTTATTAGGAATAGTAAATCAGTACAAAGGACTTGATGTAATGCGATACTTAAATCAATGGGCACATGAAACTTTTTACATGCTATTGGTACTATTGTACATTATATTGTACTTAAAACCGCTTAACGTACTTACTCGAGTTAACTCGGTATTAAACTACGTTTCCATTGTCGCATAACCGACTTAACTCGTGCTTAAAATATTTGTACGATATATTATAATGCGCCTATGCGTTTTAACTCGTCTAGTGCTAAATAACGATCCCCTCACTTGTTTTCTCGTTTCTTGTTTCAATTTTCCTACGATCGACCGCCGGCTGGAATGTTTAATCAAGGTCAAGGTTAGTTAAGTTTAGCGCGTTTGAAAGGCAGATACAAGTGGCATATTTATTCGTCTCTTGCAGCGCGTTGAGTATTTTTATAGTTTTTTAATTCTTTCATCAACTGCAAAATGAGTAGTTATGAGTATTTAGTAAGTTCAGATGTATCTGATATCAAAGCTAGTATGGACGAAAATGGTTCAAAAACAAGTATCGAATGTTCTTCAGAAAATTCTTTAGCTTTGGATGATACTGTGAATATTACTATGATACGAGAATAGTGCAAATTACTGCCAAAATGCTCCTGCACCCTCATATTTTCTTTTCACTGCTGTTTCGGGTATACATTTTACTGTTACCGACGAGACCATATTGCAATTTTTTGAACATTTCTTGGATGATGACCTAATAAATTCCATTGCAGAAGAAACTACCAGATATCATGATCAAAACAATAAAGGCAGTAGTCGGTATCTGGTAACTTCGGCGGAACTGCCAGTCTCATTATTTTGCAAAGCTTAATCAAGAATCGTGAAATTTTCTCTTTACACGGGAAGACAAACCAATCTTGATCCAGATTACGCAGATCTTCCAGTTTCAGCTCAAGTAATTATGACTATGTCGAAGCCATTACTCAATCAAGGATACTGTTCGACTATGGACAATTTATTTAATTTACCACAACTTGCTGATATACTGATTTTCATTAAACTGATGTGTACGGGACATTAAAGATATCCAGAAAAAAAGGTCCAACAGAAAAAAATGCAAAGTCGCAAAAGTATAAAATTATAATCTTTCAAAAGTATGTGCTCTCAAATAAAACGATAGAAAGGATATATCAATCATTGATTTCAACTGTCGATTCTAACGCTAACACCGTTTATTTGGGGGTGTGTGTGAGTTGAACATCGCGAATAAATGTGTGGGAGCGTGGGGGGACCAAAATGGGTTATAAGCGCGGAAGCAAAGCTCGGATTAGGGGCGGTCGGACTTGACAGCTAGCGCGTTTATTATAGTTGTGGGAAAATTAGTGTGGGTTTTTAAGTTGGACGCGTGCGTATTTCGTCTCTCGTCCGTTAGTGTTTACAGATTGAGTTTGTCGCGAAAAGTCAAATTCGCTAGAATCCCTGACATTGGTTGGAATTGATTTCAAATCCTATTCGGATGGACAGCGCCGAGCAGGGTTGCTTCATCATCTACCGCAACTATGGCTTGCTATGCACATGTGCCCGGGGCAGTGTTCTGAGAGCTAGGAGCTAGGCGACAACAGAGGTCACGGAGCTTGGTCGTTGCGCAGATGTGGGTTCACAGCGGTGATTCAGAGGGGATCGAGTGAGTGGTCTTTTCGAAAGGGGCTAGCAGTGGCGTTTCTCACATTGCGACTGATGCGTCTTGACGTGCATGATCGTCGGTGTAACAGCGGAGCGAGTGTCCATCTATCTGCTAGGTGACGAGAGTGAGACGCTGGTATTAAATGTCATACAGACAGGGGCGTGCATGGACGTTACATGGAGTCGAGTGGATTGAGACTAAGAGATGTTATAGTTCGAGTATCAGATTCATTTATGCGTGGCGAAAAATGCAGGGTTTGCGAGGGAATGTTATCGAGGATTGTTTCTTCAAGGCGTTTCGGAGAGGGAGTATCTGACGATCTTGTGTGTGTGATCTGTGGCGACTACATAGTTTGACAGATCTTAATTTTAACATTTGATTAGTCTGTATGTTATCTGGCTAGAACTTAGGGACAGAATATCTTAGCATACGAGATGATCATAATCAACTGGATACACTCTGTAGCAGTTAATTTCGGGTACATACTCAAACGGTGTGTAATGGTCGCGTGAGGAGCAATGGGAGCGCGGGAAATATTAATTGTATCTAGTTTTACATTATAGAGAATATGCGCGGAGGTGGATATGGTTGTATGATTTCCTGGGTAGGTTGGTTACGAAGGAGTAGTACTTGTGAGAGTAGATTGTTACCTGCACGAGGGTATAAGAGGGTATGTAGTGATTCAAGTGATGTAGGGTGTGTGTTGAGTGTGGGATGACTGATGCATAGCTATGGTGGGCTGTGGTGATGGAACAGGGTGGGGGATGATATGACACACATGAGGGGGATGGGTCTGGTTTAGTCAATGTACAGGAGATGTAGGATTTACATAGTGACTGTAAATTATTGATGTTGGCATTAGTGGGGCGAGTGACACATGTGTCATTGTTAGAGGGCTGGGTGATTCACTATGGGGGTTGTGGCTTAATTTAGAGCGTGGGGGGTACTAGAGACTGACGAAAGACACATAAGATAGGCAGTGATGTTTGGTGTTCATAGATAGCGGGGATAGGAGGAACTGATAATGGAGGGATGGAGACTAGTTGGGGTGGACGATAGTCGAGTATCGTATGTCAGCAGATGGAGTGTATGTGGTTATGTCAACATGTATGTAATGAGACAATGATATGATAGTATTGAGTAGTGGGTGACAGTGTATGTGTGATCTTTGGTGACTATGTGATATGTAGGTGTTTGGGTGGGATACGAGGGACGATTTGTCACGATCACGTCATGTGAGTGTGCTATGTTGGTTGTGATGGGGTATATCTGACATGTTTGGGATAAGATTTGGAGCGATTGATATAGTTATGTAATAGATAGGGATGAGACATGTGACGTTGTGGTGATGATGGTTGACATTCATTTCTTGATGTCAGTTTGTTATACATGAATTGTTTTTGGGTTGGGGGGGGGGGGGGATTGACACCACACAGGGTAGAGGGTGAGATAGATCGGGAATTGAGATAGATGGGAGTTGGTTGAGTGGCGTTGAGGGTGGTGGGATGGGGGAGGGTTGAGGAGGAACATAACAAGGAGAGATAAATATTAAAGGAATTAGGTTAGTAAGGTAAGGTGAGTGGTTTATGGCACAATGACAATAAGTTGCGGTATGAGGTGGGAATGTTGTTATGTGTGTATTCTTTTGATAGTTGTAAGCGGGTGTTAAGTACAGATTTTGTGGCGGAGGGCGGACTTGTGGAATTTGTGTTGGATTTAGCGATTAGTGATATTTAGAGGTGAGCGGTGTATGGGAGATAGTTATGGTGTTTAATGTAATGTTTGTTGAGGATTATTTGATATGGTTGATTGGTTGAGGGTGGGAGTATTGGTGTTAGGAGGGGTTTTTAAGTGGTTAGATGGTTGTAGGGTTGAGGGTGTATTGTTTGTATTGTGAATTGTGATGGGTTTTTGATGAAACTGGGAGGTGAGAGGGTGAAAGGAGAGCGGCGTATGGAGGGGTATGGGGTAGGGTGGTTGGTAGAGTTGAGAGTATATTTTGGGGGAGATTTAAGGGTGAGGTGATGAGATGTTGTATATGTAGTTGTGGTGTTGTTGGATTTTTGAGGAGGGGTTGTTGAGTGAGAGTCTATGGGTGATGGATTTTGGGATGTGTAGACAACTGGTGTAGTGTTGTGAGAGTGATAGAGGTTGAGGCTGTGTGGCGACATGACTTATGAGGAGATAGATTGAGATATTGTAACACACTATGGAGTGGGGGTGCGGTGTGATGTAATATCTTTGAACAGTAGAGCAATGGTGATGAGGAGGTGACGGACACACATGTGAGATTAGAAGTTGTATGGTGGTGGTGGTATTGGGGAGGTTCTATTTGTTGTAGTTTATTTGGAATTGTACACGGGAGAGATGATAGTGTGGGGTGGGGGGGGGGGGGGGGGGGGGGGGGGTGGTGGTTGTAGGGGGGGTTTTTATGGTGGGGTTGTGGGGAGGTATTTTGGGGTGATATTAGGGTGTGGGTAGTGCTTCTGATGGTGGTGGGAGACAGCAGTGGTAGGTAAGGGGAGGCATTTAGGTTTATTAGATGAGGACAGGGACATGTTGTGTGAGGGGTCATTAGTATTAGATTTATTTAAAGATTGGGTGGAGTACTGGAGGGGGTATATGAGGTGCGGTTAATCTGTTGGACTGGGTTTTCTATGTGATAGGTGGGGAGATAGTTGAGGTGGGTTTGTGTGAGGGGGTTGGTAGTATTGTAGGAAGACATGGTGGGGGTGGATTGTTATTGTGTAGTTATATGGGTGAGATGATTGGATATGGAGAGGGGGTATGGTCTATCTTTCAGTTCTATATCAGTTTGTTAGGTTAATTTGTTAGTATGGTCGTGGAGCGTGGGGTATGTAGTCTGTAGTTGTTGTAAGTTTTTATAGTGGTGGATACAGGTTGAGGTGTTAGTGTAGGGGATCAATATGTGTGGTAGTGATTATGTGTGTGTTGCGTGTTGGATTGTTGTGGGTGGTGACGGTCTATGGCGTGGTGATTGTATCTGGTTGTGTGTACTTTAGTGACAGTTAATGGTGGAGTGTGGTGATGTTTGGATAATGGTGGGGTGGGTGGGTGGTGAGTGTAAGGAGAAATTGGTCATTGGATGTGAGAGGAGAGTATGTAGTACAGTGGTTGGATGTGAGGTGGGTTTGTACAATTGGTGGGTGGTAGACAGGTTTAGAGACTTGGTTTGTAGTGGGGGGGATGATTAGAGGTTGATCGGAGGGAGGAATGGAAGGTAGTGGTGTTGTAGTGGGTGCTAATTAGACTGTGTGGGACTGGTAGGTATAGAGATGTGGTTGAATAGAGTAGAGAAAGGGGGGGGCGTAAAGGTAGGGGGTAGGGTATGTAGTCATAAGTATGTCTTCTAATGTAGGGTTATGTCATGATTTGATTTGGGAGATTTCAGGTATATTATGTTAAAAACAAGGGACAGTTACGTGAGAGATAGATGTTGACAGGATTGAGGTTTGGGGGTGGTGGGTTGGGAGGTGTTTATGATTGGGTGTATAGGGGGGGGGTAGGGTAAGAAAAAGTTGGGGGGGGATTTGAAGCGGGTATTGAGATGAGACATGAAGGTAGAGTGTGATTGACTGGTACACACTCTATGGATAGTTTGTCTGTCGTAGATATAATTAGAGTTGATAGGGATTGTAGTGGAATTGATGTGGTGTAGGCAGTGGAGTGGAGTGTTAGTGTGTTCATAATTGTATATGTTATTTGTAATGAGGGAGTGGTTGTGGGGTGAGTTGGAGATAACATTTTATATTCATTGACACAGAGATTGTATATTTTGGTTAGGAGGAGGAGATTGTGTGCATTCTTCAATGTGGTATGTCGGGAGGCGTTGGGGGTGTGGTGGAGTTTTAAAGTTATCAAGGTGGTGTTGGTTTAGTGATGGATGGATATTACGTAGTGGTGAGGATATGGCAGTCTCAGTTATTAGTGGACTAGGGGAACGGAAAGGGGTGGTGTTGTTGTTTTTGGGGTGAGTAATGTGAATTGGAGGAGGTAAATCAATATGGTTGGGGGTTTAATTTTGTGCGGATAGGGTGGATTTTTAGTTATAGGTTGAGGCAGGTTGGGTTTAAGGGGGGTTGGTATGGGAGGGTGGGGCTTATGGGAGTGAACCTCTTGAGTATGTTAAGGGAAGATAGGTTGAAATCAGGACAGTTGTTGTTGGGGAAGCCTCATGTTTATGTGTGTACTTGTGTGGGTAGTCTGTGGGGGACAGGTATCTATGATCACACATATTGCGGTATTGATCCACGTTGTTAGAAGTTGGAGCGGTAGGATGTGAGTTTGGGCAGCGTGGGGAACATCTGTAGAGTATGGGAGAGTGGTGATGGGGATGGAGACGAGAGGAGTGATGTGCTAGAGGTGGTGGGGCAGATGTACGATGAGCGTGAAACTAGAAAGTGTACTTAAGTTTGTAAGGGGGATAGAGGGAGAAGGTAGGGGGTGTGAGTGAGACAGTGTGGGTTTTTATGAGGTGGTGTCGGTGGAATTTAGAGTGGGTGTGGGTAGTGTGAGTGTTATAGAGTACTGGTGAGGACTGAGAGGTGGAGGATTGTATCGGCATGAGATTAGAGATTGACAGTGTGTGGGCGGACTTCATGTGTTGACTGTAGGGAGTATGTAGGGATTGGATATAATAGTGGTGGTATGTGGTACTGAGTGGATTCTTAGTGGATAATACTACTTCAGGGAGAGAATGTTTCTCGGGTTGGGTGGTGGTATGTAATATAGATGATTGCGTTGAGATGGGGGGGGGGGGGGTGGGTGAGGGGGGGGGGGGGGGGGTCTTATATGGATCTATTGTTGGGGTTTGGGATGGTGATGTGAAATGGGGGGTGGGGTGTGGTACATTGGTTATGGGAGGGTTAGCGGTGCTAGGGGACTTTGTTGAGTTGCGAGACATGTTGTGAGTGATTGGGAGTAGAATATATGTCGTATGTATCGTGATTTAAGTATTTGGGTGGAGTGTAAGTGGAGAAGTTAGTGTTGTATGTTTTTTAGTGGTTAATATGTGGGGGAGGATTGGGAGAGTGGTGTTGTTGAATGTGATTGTTTAGGGTGATGGTGAGGTTGATGGGTTGTTGTGTTATTGTGGTGGTTATTTGGTTTTTTTTGTTTTGGGTGGGGGGTAGTAGTATTTGGGATATTTAGTTTATTGTTATTGTTGGATGAATGATGATTGTTTTTTTTTTAGGGGGGAATTATGTATATTTTGTGGGTGTTTGTTGTGAGGTGGGGTATTTTATTAAAGGGGGGGAGGTGTGAAGGGGGGGGGAGGTAGGGTGAAGGAGGTGTTAAGAATTTTTTTTTAGGGTGGGGATTTTTAATGTGGAGTGGGGGGGGTTGAATTGTGGGTATTTGGTTTGGGTATTGATAGGGGGTGAGTTTTATGATTGTGATTGGTTTGTTTTTAATATTGGGGGTTGTTTTTAATGGGGTGGAGTGGTTTGTGGTTGGGAGGGTAGTGTGGGGTGTGTGGTTTGGTGTGGTGGGGTGGTAGGATGGTGGTGTAGTGTTATAGTTAAGGTGTGTATGGGGGGGGGTTTTTGTTTTTAGTGATAGGTTTGAGGGATGATTTGAGGAGTTGTGTGGGATGGGTGGGGGTTTTGTGGGTTGAATGGGAAGTTTAGGTTAGGTTAATAGGATTAATTAGAATTGAGGGTTTGATTTGGGTGTGGTGGGGTTTGGTGTGGTAGGAGGATGGAGGTTTTGTTTTTTTGGGGGAAGTGGGAGTGAAGTTTGGGGTGTAGGTAGGGAGAAGGAGTGTGTAGGATGTTGTGGGGGGGTTAAGGTTGAAGGTGGAGTGATTGAATTATTGGGAAGTTTTAAGGTGGGTAGAGAGAGGTTGAGTGTGTTAGTGGGATGTTAGGGGGAGGTAGTTGGGGGAAGGTGGGGGGGTTTTGATGAATTTTTTGGAAAATGATGGATTAGAAGTTGGGGGATTGGGAATGTGGGGAATTTATGGGATTGTATGTGATGTGAATTTATTAGAGGTATGGGGGGAGTTGGGGTTTAGGGGGGTTTTTGTTTAGTTGTGGGTATATTTGATGTTGAAGGGGGAGAAGGGGGGGGGGGTGGGGGAAGGTGAAAGTAATTGGTGTGGGGAGTAGAGTGGGTGTTGGGGTGTGATGGGATTTATGTTTTTAGTGGGTATTTTAGTTTTGAATTTGCATTGTTGAAAGTGTGTAATGGATGTAGGGATGTAGTTTGAATTGGTAATAAAGGTAGGTGATGGTGTTATGGGGTTGGTGGAGTGAGTATATTGTCGGTAGGGTAGATATGATTATTAATGGTTGGTGGATGTGGGGCTATTAGGTTTATGTAGTGGTATGATATTACTGAAGGAGTGTTTAGGTGTGGGGTTGAACTAATGTGTTGGATAAATATTTTTAGTTTGTCACAGAAGTAGTTTCAGGTGACGTGAGTTAAGGATAAGAGAAAAGCATATTTGAGTTGGATCATTTTACTTGATAGAGATCATGGAATAGTATGTGGTAGTATAAAAATGTTCTGGAAGTTCTTTGGTAACAAAGTATATGTGTTAATAATTTGAGATGGTAGAAATGTCCAACGTACCTTGAGATAGCGATTCAAAACTTACAGGTAGCAATTAAGATAAATCCTTAGTATTTAAAGCAGCGAATGTAGCAATATCTGCCGTTAAGGATGTTGGTGTAGTATCCAGTACAGAAGTTGTGGTTAGTTCCTCAGTATGTGTATCTTGTTTCATTTTCCTAAAAAAACAGAATATGTAGCTGACAGAAATAAAGAATATCCCGATCCATTATAGAATTTACATTTGCAAATCTCGAACAAACTGATTCTGTTATAATACATAGTCTAAATGAATTTTAAGGTTAACCTAGAACCTGATCTATAGTTTCTTACCTGTAAAGATGCTGCTTTGTTGTTTATACAAAGTGCAACCATTTTTTCTGTTCTCGACTAAAACCTGCTCATATTTGAAGATAATTCCACAATTTAAAAGTTCAGTAACAGATAAGACACAATAACGAATAAAAATACAGTTAAAATACTTTGATTTGCGTACAAAATATAAAACTTGCTTCAGTATTAAAGAAATTTAATGTTATTCTAACCAGACAGCTTAGTTTGGCATAACCAGACCAAAGACGCTTAGTCGGCGCTTAGTCTATTATTGCAAAACTAAGAATGGCAGTTAACCCTTAAGTACTAACGCCCCGTCTCTCAGACGGCATCGCTTGTCGAAAGTGGGATATCTCCCTACCTAAAAAATTTTGAAGGTCGCCTGTTCCTGACTTTTCAAGTTGGGTTGTTATTTATTAGTATTGAGATCGGCAGTTTGCTGCAGGTTGTTATTCTAAAGATATTTAGATTCAAAGTGTGATTTCCGTCTGATAGACGGGTTGTTAGTGTTCGTATTTATTTACTATTTATCTGAAAATGGATGAGGGACCCAGTACGTCAAAAAAGGTCAAATATGGGGATAAAAACTATGAGGAAACGCTTTTGAAATGGCTTGATGACGTAGATGACGACATAAGCGAAGTTGAATCAATTTGTGATGGAAATGTTGCTATTGACAGCGATCACGAAACGGAATCGGAAATAGAGGGTAAGTCAAATCTCTTGGAATTATTATGTATGTATTGTACTAAAGTTCGGTGTTAATCTAGTATGTGGTCTACCTCGAGGGTGCGATCTACCTGATGCACAAAATAATGATATGCAAGAAAAATCTTGTGGAAAAATTAATTATTCACAGTAACAACTATTTTACATTTATTTTGGAGCAAAATCAATGTAAAATGAAATGAAAGTAAATCTACCTTGCCATGTTATTTGAAAAGAGGGGTTCATATTTGTGCATACCCTGGGAAAATATTAGGGTGTTATTTGCATATTAGTAAAGAAAATAAATTTGCGTAGTTTATTTTATATTCCTAAATAATAGTAGTATAAATGTTTATTGTACTTAGCAATAAACAGTTCGTCTACAATGGTGCCTTTCATTATTGTTTGCAAACCCTTCTGAGAAAAGAATATGGTGATTAGCAACACATGTATACAATACCAAAAAAAACAATCTTTACAAAGTGAATAAAACGGATAATGTTGAAGAATTATTTATTGAAAGTATTGATATGTAAAATTAAAATAGAAATTCTTATGATTTATGCGTTTTGTTCACTTTGTAAAGATTTTTTTGTCGAATACAGCGTATACACCGCATCCCTGGGTAGACCGTAAGCTATAGTAGAAACGCGACGGCAGACCGCATAGTATACCATTACCTAAAGTTCTCTTTTTAGTTTCAGAAAATGAAAATGAGGTAGAACAGGCTTGTAGAGAAGATAATGTTGACCAAAGCAGTGAAGAAGACGATCCAGAGGAGACAGGGAATTATTTCTATGGTAGAAATAGATACAAATGGTCAAAAAATCCTCCCACTTCAAATAGAGGCCGGCGTCCACAGCAGAATATAGTTTTACAGTTACCTGGATTACGCCCTGCAGCTAAAATTGGAGATAGTGCAGACCCTTTGCAGGTTTGGAAGTTATTATTCAGTGATAATATTTGCAACATAATTCTTAGATGGACGAATGTGAAAATCGGCAAAGAAAGAGCCAAGTACAAAAATCAAAATTCACCTTCTCTCAAAGACCTTGACATGACAGAACTTCACGCATTTTTGGGATTTTTAGCATTTACATGCTTATTTAAATCAAACAATGAAAACCTAGATACTATTTTTGCTACTAATGGAACTGGTAGAGAAATAATGAGATGCATTATGTCAAAAGAGAGATGTGCGTTCCTTTTGTCATGTTTGCGATTTGACAATCCCGAAGACAGAAATGAGAGAATAGTGTTGGATCCAGCAGCACCGATTTCAGAAATTTTTAGTGAATTTATTAACAACAGTCAGGCATGCTACACTGTGGGAACTTCAGCCTGTATTGATGAGATGCTAGTGGGATTCAGAGGTCGATGTCGCTTCAAAATGTACATACCGAGTAAGCCCGTAAAGTATGGTATAAAAATTATGTGTTGTACTGATGCTCGAACTAGCTATTTATTCAATGCTTATATATATACGGGAAAAAATTCTGACGGTATTGGACTTACAGAGGAACAGAAAAGATACAGTAAGCCGACACAGGCTGTTATGCGCTTAACTACTCCTCTCTATGGGACCAACAGATCTATAACCTTTGACAACTGGTTTACATCTATAGAACTGGTAGAGGTATTGAGGAGTAAAGGTCTAACTTGCATTGGAACTCTCCGTAAGAATCGTAAAGAAATTCCTCCTATCTTCTTACCCACCAGACGACGAGAAGTGGGAACGGCAATTTACGGATTTACAAAACACATTACTTTACTTTCACACACAACACATAAAAATAAAGCCGTAATTTTGGTATCATCATCTCATCACGCAGCCACTGAGGATACAGATACTAAAAAACCACACATAATAGTGGATTATAATTCAACAAAGGGTGGTGTCGATTCAATGGATGAAAAATGTGCCAAATTTACAAGCAGTCGTCGAACTCGCCGTTGGCCTATGGCTATATTTTTCAGAATGTTTGATATAAGTACAGTAAATGCTTATATTCTTTATGAATCTTTTAAAAATAATACTCATTTAGAAAGGCCCAATTTTATTGAAAAACTGGCATTTCAACTTATCCAACCTCAGCTACACAGAAGACTAGAAAGTTCCTCTTTACCTAGAAAACTAAAGTTGAGCATATGCGAGATACTGAATATAGATGAACCTCAACAGCGTCCAGAAGTAAGAGTGGAAAAATTAGAAAAAAGGAAGGACTGTTCTTACTGTCATTATAAAAAGAAAAGAAGAACAGCTTATGTCTGCTTTCATTGTCAGAAACCAATTTGTTTGGAATGTGCGAAAAAAATTTGTTTGGAGTGCGCTACACTCTACCAACTTTAGTGACTGTCAGTTTTTTTTTGTGTGAACATTTTTTAAAAATATTATTGTTTTAATGTTTCTTACTCTTTACTTAACCCGATTATAAATTTTTATCAATATAGTTTAATTTGTTTAATTTTTATCACATTTTTTTTCAGGCGTAAAAATGTCCACAAAAAACCGATCCATTCTTGTTATAATATTTTTTATTTTAATAAATACAGATAAACTATATTAATTACTGTATTTTTTGGATAACTAATACTTTCAGTAAGTCATTGCAATATTTTTTTGCATCAAGGTATATAAAAAACAAAAAATATTCACTAAAATGTTAAACCCGTCTGTCAGGCGGTTAGTTAGTGTTTACGCCATTGATTTAAGGTGTTAGTACTTAAGGGTTAAGAATATAGTCTTGTTATGCAAAACAAAAAACCCGTCATAGACAGAATGTCGCTTGGTTTAACTTTGTTTATTTTAGCGACCGTTAACGTGACAATAACAGGGATATTTTCCAAGATAGTTTTAGCTATATGTCACCCGAATCTGTTGAAATCTCGATTTTAAAGAAATGGCGCTTGGTCGAGTTATGCTTAACGCCGTCCAATTATTATCCCCAATTAACCGAACAATAATATCCTATAATAAAATGTAATATACGTACAGCCGTTTAAATGCGTATTTGTAGTTGAAAAGTATACAATAATCTATTTTTTTTAATTTGGTTGTTTTAGACCGCAACTAATCCCAACGTAGTGCGTAGAAGTTACATTATCGGATCAACTTTAAAAGATGAAGATTTGAAAGATTTTATGAATATTACAACAAATCATCCAGTTATTACAGCATGGTTTAATAATGATCCTTTTCACTCCCCTGGTATTGCTTTAGGAATGGTTTTGTCTGCCGTTTACAATCACTATACTAAAGGAACTATTGAATTTGTTAACAAACCATTACCTTTTAAAGCTCAAACCCAAATTGATAACATTGTTGGTGGACAATCTCAGGGATTCCAGTTTGCATTTAATATTGGATTCAGGTAAGGTTTTGGTATACTCATAATAAAATAAATATAGTAAACTGGAGACTACTGCCAAAATATAATTATTCTTAGTTTAAATTAGTATACTGCAAATGATGTAAAGGTTGCGGGTGTAAGTACATATTCATGAATGTTAGGGAAGTAAGTCTTCTACTTACAATTCGTAATAGGTTTTATTAAAGTTAAAACTAAGTACGTATTATATAAATAGCATTGTAATGTCCTTAAATAATTATTTTTTAAATTATTGTATTATGACATTCAGAGCTTCTGCATAATGACGCTTTGATGATACCTAATGAGGTTGAAGTAGTAAACTGGTCCATAGTGGGACGTTTTTTTTTTCAAAAGTGTATAGCACCTTGATTAAGCGTTTGTAAATTATAGTAAGGGTACCTATGCATGGATATGGATGTAAGGAAGCAAACTAATAATAATTTTAAGTAATCCTTTATTTATAATAAATGTTATTCAACAAGTCCCACTATGGACCACTCGTCCCACTATGAACCACTATATGGTCCATTGTGGGAATTATAGTGGTCCATAGTGGGATTTTTAGTAAAAAACTCTTTTAGTCTATTTTAAATTGTAACAAATTAACAGGGAACATAAACTGGCGAGGAGCGCTAGCTGTACTTCCACTAATGGCAGGAGGGGACAGTTTTAAACAAAATATTCTTATCGGTATCTACATCGGGTTTATCGGGGAAAACAAATTTGCCGGCGACAATTCCCTTCATGAAACAGATATTATATTCATCTCCACTTATATTAATAACCTGACCGACATAATGTTTAACAGTTTTTTTTGTCATGTACCTCTCTAACTATAACATAGTCATGACTTTGAATAGACAAATCTTTATTTTCTGATGTGAAGCTTTCTAAATCGCTAGAATCGTTGCAGATTTCTTCACTAACATCACTGTTCGAACTAATGTCGTCATTAAAAAACTTGACGTTTAACTTTTGTAGCCTTCTGCTTTCTCTCTTCTGAAACGTTTTTTTAGTCAATCTTTCTTTATGCTGTTCCTCTATGGCATCTTTTATGGGGGTATCCGTTATTATTGCTGACTGTAGCTTCTTTCTGCTTCTTCTAAGGTTTTTCCTAGGAGCAGCTTTGGCATGTGGCCTAATTTGCTGAGGGGTTATTATATTGGACGGGCCATTCGTTACCATTTCCATTTTCATTTTCTTCGGACCTATCAGTGACATAAGATGACATAAAATCACTCTCTAAAAAAAATTGGGAATTCAGAGGCACTATGCATCTTTTTTTAAATCCGTTAAGAATGTTGACAGGAGTGAATGCTTTAGGGTAGGCGGTACCAACAACATTACAGACATCACAAATGCTCATAGGTATGGCAGGATGATTTAGCATCCAGTCATCAACGCCTTGGTTATAATAGCTTTTAAATGGAAAGAAGCAACTTACGTCGAGCGGTTGTAATTTATGACTGCTATGAAGCGGCAATGTCAATAAAATAATCCCATTCTCTTTACATAGATTCAGCACACGATCATCGTAACAGCTCTCATGGTTGTCAAGAATTAATAGAACTTAGAATTCTTTACTGCATCGCACGTGTTTGATAAAGTGCTCTATATACTTTAAAAAATTATCTCCCGTTATCCAACCAGAAGGAAACGCTGCACCGAGCTGATCCTAGAGGAGCCCCAGTAAGCATGAAACGCTTAAATATTTTCCTCGGGAATACAAAGAATGGAGACACAACAGTCTCATTAGCGCATATTGCAGTGCACATTGTTATTAATGTGCCTCTTTCAGCGCTTGTCACTTTTCCAATTTGTTTTTGTTTAATGTTAGCAAGTACCTTCCCGGGTTTATGCACATTGGTGACACCAGTCTCATCACAATTGTATATCTGGTTCGACTGGATATTCTATTTCGTTATTACACTTCTCCAGTTTGTGAAAAATGTAGCCACATTATGCTTGTTGAAGCCGGTGGCCCTGCCGAGGCTAGTTGCTTCTGGTTTTCTACGCAATAACATAGGGTGTCGTTTCCTAAAATTATTCAGCCATTCGACTCCAGCTCGTTTTTTCTCGTGCCAAGTTCGAGGCACCGTTTTATTGTTAGTAATGGCATACTTACAAGCCAATTCACGGGTATGTATTAATGTTAAGCCGTAGCACATTTCACAAGCCTGAATTATGTACTTGCACAATAGCTGTTCCTCTGTACTTGTAAATATTCTTTTGAAACCATGGGTTCGTCCATATTTAAAATCATTTGTGTTGTCTTCATTAGCTTTATTAACTAATTTGAACTTCTTCACTTTGCGCTGTAGAGCTGACTTGCTTACACCATGCTTTTTGGATCATATTCATCAATGACATTTGATTCTTTAGTACATCTTCTACTGCAGAATGCATAGATCTTGCATATACTTCATGATTCTCTAGGCTTTTCTCGAAAACTACTGACAGTTGGGATCTTGGATATCTCGGCATATTCAATTCTGCAAAGAATGAAAATGTTTAGCACGTTTTAGTATATTTCAGCATAGACCGCATTCTATTATCATATCCCAGTATGGACCGCTTTTTTATTCCCACTATGGACCATGGCGCATCAAAATACAAATGAGCAAAAATTTTATCGAAGTGGTAGAGCTAGGTTTAAATAGAATACGATAATATTGAGGTTATGTATGTTTTAGATATCCATACCAAATTCAAATTAAATAGACCTGTATGGCAGACCATACAGGTCTGCCATATGGAATGCTACATCGAGAGGTTGCATTCAATGTGTACAGTGAGCCGGCAAACATAAAAGTACAATGCCATTTTCTTTGGCTTACAGAAAAGCGTCAAGATATTTATATCTTAAATATCCATCCACAATTAGCAAAACCTTCTCGGTGGAAGATGCCTTGACATATTTTTGGAATACTGCAACCATTGTTAAAATACTGGACCTATCATCCAGTTAGTCTCCTGCGGAATACACAAATGTCTGCTTGTGTATGGTTAGCAAATTGCTTTTTTATATTTTTTCGTGGAAATATGAGAGTAGGTAGAATATAGCTTCCGTTAGTGTACTTACAACAAACAACTGTCACGTGGGAATCTCGTTCGGCACTGGTAATTGCACCTACTTGTTTGCGACAGGCTGTAGCAAACACTTTCAGCGGGCGTTGTACGGTAGATAATGCAGATTCATCTGCATTATATATCTTAATGGAATCAATATTTTTCTTTATCAAAATGTCCTCTAACACTTTATAAAACTTGGCTACTTGAGGTTTAATAAAAGCCTGCACTCTTGGTGCAAATGTGGCTTTGGGTTTACACAGTGTTATATCTGGGTTTCTTCTGCGAAATTCTCTCAACCATTCATCTTATCCAGTATCCTGTTTTTTTTGCAAGGCATGCCTTCTTAGGGTTTCTTGAGATATATTGAAAAGATTTGATGCCTTGCGCCACCCCATTTCACCTGTTATAGCAGCTTCTATAGCCTTTACCATGCCTGCAGGTCGTTATTGCGTTATTTCGAAGGATAATCTGTAAAAAGGGAAATGTTATCCATTTAAAAGGCGCATTATTTTTATCTATGTACTTCTACTATGTCTTCTTCTTCTAGTTCCATGTTGGCTACCATATTCGCTATCGTGACTTTATTGACAGCAGCTCTAAATAACGATGTAGTTGATTTTCTATACCATTGCATTTTTTTGATTTTTGAGCCATTATGTTTTTCTTCTACCAGGACCACGATTACTTTGGATCCTTCCCTGAATGATCAGATGTAAAAGATCATATTTTTTAGGGTGTCTCATAATGTGACCGAAGTATTCCAGCTTGCGTTTTTTTATTATATTGACTAGTTGTGTTGTTTGGTTCAGCCATCTAAGGACCTCCTCATTTCTAACTCTGTCGACCCAGCTTATTTTCAGTAGTCGTCTGTATACCCACATCTCAAAGGCTGTCAAGCCTTTAAGGATAGCCTCAGTTAGAGTCCACGCTTCTACTCCATGCAGCAGGACAGAAAAGATGTAGCAAGATGTCATTAAACTCTAAGGTCAATGCTAAGATCGTGACGACAAAGTACGTTTCTCATTTTTACAAAGGCAGCTCGGGCTTGTTCTATTCGGCTTTTAATTTCTGCGGTTGGATCCCAGCTCTCATTGATATTACTTCCGAGATACACGAGTTTCTCTACTCTGTCCAGTCTGGCATCTCCGACTTTTATACCGTCATCCTGTATATAATTTTGTTTGCTAACTATCATATATTTAGTTTTCTTAACGTTGAGTTTTAATCCATACTGATCACAAGTCTGTTTTATTTTGTTCATCAGATTTTAAGGTCTTCTCCGCAATTCGCAAGTACTAAGGTATCGTCGGCATTTTTAATATTGTTGACGTTTACTCCATTCACAATAATACCTTCGGTTTTCTCCATTAAGGCTTCCTTAAATATTTCCTTCAAATATAAGTAAAAAAGTAAAGGCGACAATATACAGCCTTGTTTCACTCCTCCTTTTATATTTATTTCATCCGACAGTTCTTGTTCAACCTTTATTCTTGCCACTTGATGTCAGTATAGATTTGCAATTATTCGTAGATCTGTATCGTCCAATCCAACTGTTTCCAATATTTCTAGCATTTTGTTATGTCGGACTTTCTCAAAAGCCTTGTCAAAATCGATTGCACAAATGTACACATTTTGATTTATATCTCTGCATCTCTGTACTAGTACCTGTATACTAAACAAGGCTTCTCTTGTACCCAAGCCACTCCTAAACCCAAATTCAGTATTGCTAATTCTGTCCTCTAACAGCGTGTAAATTCTGCTGTGTATTACTCGCAGGAAGATCTTCAAAACGTGACTCATCAGACTTATTGTCCGATAATCACCGCATGTCTTTGGACGATGTTTCTTAGATACTGTGACAAATGTCGACTTTAACCAATCAGTTGGTAATATCCCAGTGGCATAAATTCTGTTAAAGAGATTACACA